ATACAAAGTACAGAATTAGCCTTTACGCCAGCGACACCGTCTGCCTAGGCGAGACGTGTGTAGCACAGGTAATGCTCTCCCCCTTTGGGGACAACAGGTAAGACATAAAGAGGGTTTCCTTTTTACATTAAACAATGAGGGTCTAGACAAGGCGGAATCAAGTAACATTCAGTTTTTATATTGAAACTCTTAACAGTGCAAACAACGCTGACTTACAGCGCCCTTTCAAGACAGCAAAACTAACCGCACATATACATAACTCGGGGGTACACACATTTAGGAAGTAGGGTCGTGACGGATGATAATATTCTTTGTTTATCTGTGTCTTTTGTTCCGCATATATACATTACATATCAAACTGTCTGCCTGGCTATATACCTGCCTTTTAGTCCTCCAGTCTGTCTGTTCATAAACAGGCTTGTCTAGCAACTTTTTTTTTTTTGTCGCGTGTTCTTTACAGGAAGTTGAAAAATTAACTTCAGTATTTGTCGGCATTGCTTGATTTTACTAGAAAATTTTACGTTCATTAGTTTGCTATTGCTTCTCAGGCCTCGATACCACTGTAGTCTGCTGTCGAACTGCCTTCAGCTGTGATCGAACCCAGCACCTCGGCATTACGAAGTGCATTTGCAATGCCGAAGATGCAGAAGGAGATGTCTCTCAGGGACAAACTCCCTCCCCCCCCCCTGCACCCCCTTTTTTCACCCTACCGCGTAGCGTATTCGTGTAGATGGCTGGATGACACATGGTAGATGGCAGTGTTGCCACTTTTCTTTGACAAAAAACATCCAAAACGGAGTCAAAAAATATCTAAATTTGCGTGGAACACATCTAGAAAAAAACATCCAAATGGGAAGAGTCACAAATTACATAACAATTCCCTATAGATTCCCTATAGAATCAAGTCCTCATCTTTACTGAAGTCTGCCTTACAAGACCCACAGGATAAACTAAGCTTGGATGATGAAGTTGAAGCTTCAGATCCAAAATTACTCTGGTATGCTATAGCTATGAAATGTACCCAAACAACTGTTTAGGTACATTTCAAAGCATAAAGAAGGGCGTACGACAAGGATGTGTACTGTCACCTGATTTGTTTTCAATATACAGTGAATATATAATGAGAGCTTTAATTGGTATGCCCGGAATTGTGGTTGGTGGGCACAATATAAACAATTTACATTATGCTGATGACACAGTCTTGATAGCAACAAGTCAGAAAGAACTACAGGAAATGATAGACATTGTGGTGTTAGAAAGTGGAAGAATAGGCCTCAGTTTGAATAATGGGAAGACAGAAGTAATGGTGGTATCAAAGAAATGAATTATTCCTAAGTGTGTAATAAAAGTTGATGGTGTTATTTTAGGACAAGTACAGAAATTTAAGTATCTGGGCACATGGATAACATCAGATGGAAGATGCATAACTGAGATAAGAAACAGAATAGGACAGGCAAAAACTGCATTTTATAAAATGAAAAACATCTTGTGCAATTTATCCTTGTCATTGAGAGTTAGAAAAAGAATTCTTGCTTGCTACATACATCCAGTTTTAACATATGGCTGTGAATCCTGGACAATAGGTAGACAGGCCAAACAATTCCTGGAGACCTCGGAGATGTGGTTTTACAGAAGAATGCTTAGAATACCCTGGACAGCCAAAAAGAGCAACCAAGAGGTTTTGAAAGAGGCGGGAGCCCGAAGACAACTTATCACAGACATCAGAAGGAGACAGTCATCATTTTTCGGCCATGTTATGAGAAGAGGGAAAATAGAACATGTTGTGACCACTGGAAAGATATGTGGAAGGAGAGATAGAGGTAGACAACGAGAGAAGATGCTTGACAGTCTTGTTGCATGGCATGGAGGTGTGTCGGCACACGAACTGATACATGCTGCAGGAGATCGCAGATTATGGAGAGGCATAATCGCCCACGCCAGTCGGCACCTGATGATGATGTTGATGCTATAGCTGTTCCAATTTCGTTTAATATCCAATCAGGGAGCTGATAAGTGGAACAGCCTTTTCCTATTCTTATCAGGCAAACTTTTATTGTCAAGAGAGCATTAAAGAGGCCAAATTTCATCCTGTTTCTTAAGTTAAATTTGATAAATTAACTCAAATGAAAGACATCTAGAAAGACATCTACCATCTAAACGTCAAAAACGCCATCTAAATGCAAAAGAAAATATCTAAATATGGATGTAAAACATCCAAAGTGGCAACACTGGTAGATGGAGGATGGTAGAGCTCCTACGGAAATTCCCTATGGCAGTGATTCCCAAACTGTGCGCTACAAGGCCCTGGGGAGGGCGACCTCTTCATAGAGGCGCCGCGAAATATTGTAAAAGCTTCATAACTAATTTAACGAAAACACGAATAGTCACACTTAGGTTAGGTCGCCGTGGAAAAATTGTAATTGAAAAAAGGCGCCGTGACCAAGAATAGTTTAGGAAACACTCCCTTATGGTGACAGAGATGTGTAGAAGATCTCGAGGTCGGTCTCTACTACGGTCTAGGATATGATAATGTCTGCAAGCGGGACATAAATGATAAAGGTATTGAGGTAGATTCGTGCAAACAAAATGTCATGTTGTGTGGAGGGGGCACATCAGGAAGGAAATGAGAATGAAGGAAGAAATTATTACCCAAAAAAAAAGGATGAGAACTGAGAAGAAAAAACACACCAAATACAAATTATGGAAACACCGGTTCTGAAATCTGGTATGTTTGTGGAAGAATTTTCCTTTTGCTGGCGGGTCTTGCTAGTCACACTCAATTTCGCTGTGAGTCCCGTGCCTCCCCATGGCACAATAACGCTATCGTCTGGAAAGACGGAAAGGTGCCAGCAATATAGAATGCTAGTCAAAAAGACATATTCTCTAAAATAATGTATCATAGTAAATGGGTAATTCTGAAATATTTCGTTAAAGGCGACGTATGAGGAGTTTATATTACGCCAAAAAGTTCATGTATCGCAGCCTAGCTATACACCAGAACACCGCGTAGGTAGGTAGCTCTACCAAACCAGGACATCACACAAACGATAAACACACGGTGACACAAAGTGCGACCATGCAGATGAGGATCACACATGGAGAGGTCACAGAAACCCCTTTCAGCCGTTGGGCCATATCTATGGCTAGGCAATATCTATGCCCCGGCTATATTCAGAGCTCCCGGCAGAAGCCAGGGTGGGGCTTTAAAAAAAAAATGAAAGAGCTGATAGGTTGGCTGGATCCGCTATCACTACCGACGGTCAGCCTATGGATCAGGCTATTATTAATGCCCTCAGAGAAATTGGAAGGATATAGGACTTTGGGGGCAGTGAATCCACATCACTCGCCAGAATGGCAAAAAACGAGACACACACCAGTCACACAGAAGACTTGTTAATAAACATAGAACTGGCACTATTAGCCATTAAACGTTGGGGTTCATACTGTGGAGAGGATCTGAGCACCTATGGACATGTCCGGAGTGCAGTGATAATAACCAAACTAACTAACTAACTAACTAACTAACTAACTAACTAACTAACTAACTAACTAACTAACTAACTAACTAACTAACTAACTAACAAAAAATTGCATCCCACGAAGGGACGACTATATTTTTGATAAACGAGAACACCACGTGTCAGCTGCTCTTATAACGGCGAACGCCAAAGAAGAGGAAGAAGGGTGTTCTCGTTTTATGAAGTTGGATAGAAACTGGGTATTCATATTTCAGGCTGCAATTCCAGAGAGGTAAAAGGGGCAAGCGGGGGAGGGAAAAGGAGGGGAGGGGGGGGGGGAACTACGATAAATAACAGCAACGAATAGCTATAGATTAATAAAATTGGTACAACTTACTAAGTCAGGCCCAGAAAGAGAGTGATTTCCCTTGCGATTCATCCCTGGTAGTGTCGTAGGGCCTGTCCTATGTTGCGGGGTGTTACACCTAATGAGCGTTCAGCAACATAACGAATTTTACGCCTTCTTGTCACCGGCCTGCAATATCGTCTGTTCTATATTCCACGCTGTGAGAGCTTTTGAAGGTCCAAAAGCATGTAGAACTGGCCCTAACCCAAACCCACCACAGCCTATGCTTACGTCCCACGAGAGTGTGCAGCATATGTCCCACGACTGCATGCAGCCTATGGCAACAACGCGTAAAATACGTTGGGTTGCTGGACGCTTACTAAGCGTGACACCCCCCGCAACATAGGACAAGCCCTACGACACGACCAGGGATGAATGTCATAAAAAGTCACTCTCTTTCTGGGCCCCACTTCGTGAGATGTTCCCTAAAATTTGCTGATATGGACAGACATCCCCATAATACTGAACCTTTGCTGCAGAACACGCGCTCTGTGCGCATTAGTGAGGAGATCTCTGGTCTGGCCAGTTAGCAATAAGGTTGAAACCAGTCTAAATAGACCAGCGAAGGACATGCAAACAACAACCTTCATAGAGGTCTGTGACCTTATCATCTGACAACTACTGCTAAGAAAAACGAACAGGATAAAAGAAGACAGCGACAATAAAGCACTTTTTGGCATTATCTTGTTGAAAGCCTATACTCTTCAGGGAGCTTCTTCTTCTTCTTCTTCGTTTTTATCTCCAGTGCTTACTGTCTGTAAACTTCCGTGGCAATTTCTGGTTGTTCGTCCACTTCTAGATTTGATCTTTGCGTGCACATCCGTTTTACACAGATCTGGTTTATTTGTATGCAGGTGGTTGGTTATTTGCCTCTCCGACTTTATTGGAAACACCTCTAATCAATCACTTTTTACGACATGCTTGTTAAATCAATGTTTGCATATCAAATGGGGTCCTGAGACCGACGCCGGGATCTGGGGGTGCTAACATGCAGAAGAACAAGAAGGAAGCGAAGACGTTTGTTGATAACGTTCGCTGCCTGAGTTGATCTCGCTGGCAGGGGCAATAATTTGTGAACTTCGTTTCCGCTCGTCTGGAAAGGCAAGCAGACGAAAGTTTAGCGCTAAACTTTAAACATGAACCTCGAACTTCTCGGTACGTTCATAAACAGTATACAGTCGTGTATGTTATTCTTAGTTCTTCAAAGTATTTACTTATATATGAAGCTTCGTAGACAATTCTGACTTCATCATAAATTTTTAACACTTTGACGAAAAAGTCTGAACACCAAACAACGTTATTTTAAAATTTGACAATTTTAATTAATAATATAATAATTGTGCTCACAAAAAAAAAAAAAATAATAATAATTAAATATCTAAATAGCAAGTTATTGCTAAATGCAGAGTTTCAGGGCTCTGTTTTATTGCAGACTATGACTGTAAGAATTAGCACAATATCAGTATTATTGTAGTTTAAGTTTGCGAAATGTCTAACTAAAATGTTTTGATGATCTGAATAATTTAATAATTAATTTGATTCTTAATGATTCTTTTTCTACTTCTCTTCCATTTACCTCAGCGAGATGTGTGTGTGTGTGTGGGGGGGGGGGGGGCTTTTTCAGATGTACAAGCTGTTGTTCATTTCTGTTAGATTGCTTCTGATGATGTCGCTGTCTCTCTTACATAGTCTTTCCTTAGCTCTGTGCTCATTATATTTCTTCAACTTAGCTCTCTGTGGCAGTTGGTACCATAGCATTCATTCTCCTCAGGTGGCCAAACAATCTCATTTATTGTTCTTTAATGAACTGTAAGACTAGTTTCATTCATAGTCTTCTTCTAATTTCTAAATTTTTGATTTTATCTCTTGTCATATTGGCAGTTCTCCTAAAACATCTCTGTTGTTACAATCTTCCGCTGATTAGTTGTAGAAGAGTCCATGTTTGGGCCCGGTAACAGTGTCGACCAATGAGATTAGCTTTGGTTGACATAGGTATCTTTCTGTGTGTCAGAAGTCGTTCTAATTGTCCCATTCCCTGATTTGCTTTCACACATCGTATGTTGATTTCTCTATCCATTCTCCCATCTGAGGTGAAAAATGACCCTAGACATTTAAATTTGCTTATTTGTTTTATTCTGTGTTATTTACTTTAATGGCTCTCCTTTAAACTACGGCCGGTTAGTGTCCCTTGGCTGCAGTGCAATTACGGAGTGGAAAAGAGGGAACAAAACAAATGACATAAATGTTTTGGGCTAGGGTTTGGGTTAGGGTAACACATGTAAAGCTATGTCGACGGCACTTTGTTTTGTGATTCGTGCCTTCTCCGCTCTGTAATTGCACTGTAGCCAGGGGACTGAACTCCGACTAACTGGTCATCTATCTAACCGGCCGTAGTTTAAAGGAGAACCACTTTAATTGATATGGTTTCTACTTTTCTACCTTTTACCATTTAATTTCATTAACTGTCATAATTTTTCTTTGTTGTTGCAGAGTCGTTCGGGCAGAATTTCCCTGAAGATTTTGATGGAACATTGGACTGTGTCAGCATTGCAATAACTTGTGCCTTTAACAGACAAGGGACGTTACTTGCTGTTGGTTGTAATGATGGCAGAATCGTTGTCTGGGATTTTCTGACAAGAGGCATAGCAAAATTTATAAATGCTCATGTACATCCTGTGTGTTCATTAAGGTAGATCGTTTTTTCTTTCTTCTCCTCCTTTGTGCGCACAAGATGTAAAGTCTAGCAGACCGAATAACGGTCCCAAATTATCTAGGCCTAAAATATACCCTAACAGGGCCTCAGTCACATGTAAATTGCGGACCTATTTCCGGTGACTACACAACATACCTCGGAAAAGCTTCCCCCGAGTTAAAGTCACCACAGAGAGTATCTCCCGCGCCGCTATGCATGGCGCAGAGCGGGGCTAAACTAGATTGCTGGGACTCACAAGCAGCAGCTACCTCATCTCTTGCAGCTTCCTTCGTTTTATTTGCTCGTGAGTCCCAGCCATCTAGTTTAGTCACATTCCGCGCCACGTGTATCGGCGTAGGAGATACTCTTGGCAGTGGCAGTATAGTCTCAGGAAATAGTCCGCAATTTACATGTGACTGAGTCCCTGTTAGGGTATATTTTTGGCCTAGATAATTTGGGACTGTTATTCGGAAGATAGCCGATTAGAAAGTTCTGGTTGATCGTCGCTTCTGATCTTTGGTCATATTGCAGAATTTAAGCTTTGCATACACATCCATTTTACAGCCATGGCTTATTTATATGCCGACTGCAAATCACAAATCTACCAGCCACTATCTTTTTCAGAAGTCAAAACCCTCATAAAGAGAAAATCAGAAACAGACTGAAAAACCAACACAGGTTATAACCATGAAAAATATTTGCTCACACACCTGAACAAAACAGACCAAGTCACAGTTTTTCACTTGCGCACTAGATACTGCAGACTCAACAAACTCTCATAAAAATTAGGTATGAGCCAAACAGCTCTCTGCCAGTGTCTTCGGGCTGAACAGGCTCCAGAACATGTCTTGCAAGACTGTCCTCTCTTGTTGAATTAATCAAGTAACAGAAAGTATTGTGAACGGCACTCATAGAAAGAAGTAGAAAGATAGAAGAACACACTAGACAACATAAAAATCGAAAGCTATAGTTACCGTGCCGGGAATTGAACCTGTCACCTCCAGAAGGCGTCTGCGCCTCGCCATGAATACAAGTGCACTAAGATACATGGTCAACTAGGCACCCCCAATAAAAGGTGTCTTATTGGCCATGCCTATCGTACAGCTTGAAATCCACGACTTTGGAATACAGACAGAATTCATTTCAACGCATTGAAATGGCACGATAGGTTACAGAAATTTATATTAACGAAGCAAATGTCGAATAACAATCACAGCAACAATTTACAAACATAGATGACCTTATGCTTTGTCTAGAATACACAAACATTTAAGAAAGGTATTTGATTGGTAGGTTCCGTTGTGTATACGTCATTCCTATAAATAAACAGAGGGGGGAACCATTTGAGGCCGTTAAATATTATGAATTAATCAAGTAACAGAAAGTATTGTGAACGGCACTCATAGAAAGAAGTAGAAAGATAAAAGAACACACTAGACAACATAAAAATCGAAAGCTATAGTTACCGTGCCGGGAATTGAACTTGTCACCTCCAGACGGCGTCTGCGCCTCGCCATGAATACAAGTGCACTAAGATACATGGTCAACTAGGCACCCCCAATAAAAGGTGTCTTATTGGCCTCCTCTCTTGGTGGAGCTGCAGAGCAACATGTGGCCACACCCAGTAGAATTGACAACTAAGCTGTGGGCAAACCTAAGAGACCTTGAGAAGACATCCCAGTTTATGGCCCACACTAGATTATGCACATGACCAGAGATCGCTGAAGAAGAAGATATGCAGACTGTTTGTTGCATGCCTATCAGGCAGATGCAGTCTGACTTTGAAGGAAACCCTTAGCTAGACATATGACATGCTTGTTAGGGAGGCAGCGGTTGCTAGAGACAACATTGTAGATATAGATCATCTATTTCAAGCGAACGAAAGATGAAGAAGAATGATCCATGGGCATAGCAAACATTAAAGAAGAAGAGATTTCATTTTGTATTGCCAGATCTCCCAGTGTGGGTTTCAGAGTTCTACTTATGGGGAAAAGAAAATAGACCCACTACCCCCTAACAGGCATGTCATAGAAGGCCCACTGATTGTGGGTATTTCCTTTGAAGTCAAGAGTGAAGATATCTGAGAGGTACAGAACCAACAGTCTGCATACAGATAAGCCAGATCTGTAAAACATATGTACACACGAAACTCTGGAACAATACCAAAGTCGAGAAGTCGACGAACAACCACAACTTTCAGCCAAATTTCACAGCTGGTGAATACTAAGAAGAAGAAGATATTGTCACATCCTCATTTAAATCTAAGCTCACTATTGACATATTTCACATCAACAATTTATCATAACTTTTAAGAGAAACAGACTTTGAGGTTCTGTTATTTGATCACAGTCAGCATCATTGCACATTGAGTATTCTCATGTGTGCTGTTTTCCAGTACAGCAGCCAACCCTAGGTGTCTACGCTGTGTTCCCCTGAGAAGTTGATGCCTCCTATTTTTGACTTCAAAGATGGCAAATGTGTGTTTCATCGCACATTCAGCATGATTCCCCACCTCTCTCTGTCTCTTCTATCTGTCTGTCTGTCTGTCTCTGTCTCTCTCTCTCTTCCCCTCCCTCTCTCCCCTCCCTCTCTCTGTCTCTGTCTCTCTCTCTCTGTCTGTCTGTCTCTCTTCCCCTCTCTCCCTCCCTACCTCTCTCTCTCTCTCTCTCTCTCTCTCTCTCTGACTTGTTTCCTCCAAAAAAAGGAAGGTGACACCAATAGATGTTTAACAAAGTATGCTGCAGAAGCTACCAGATCAGAAGAATAATGCTCTGTCCAAATGTTGGAGCCTCCCTCCTAGACCAGCTGCCAACCAGGGCCAAGGGCCTAGTCTCCCCAGTCATTGCATTAAGTTTTCAGGTTGCATTTCCTCGTCTGTTTAAACTTGAAATTCAGATGCTATTTTTTTTTGTTAGCTGGAATCGAAATGGCCATAAACTGTTGAGTGCTGCAACAGACAATACCATAGCCATCTGGGATGTTGTGTCGGGAGAGAATGACAAAGTCTATCGTTTCCCATCACCAGTGTTGAAAGTCCAGTGGCATCCAAGAAACAGGTAGGTGGATGTTTATGTCTGTGCGTAGGATCCAAGAAATATGTAAATGGGTTCTTATGTCCTGTGTAGCATTCAAGAAATAGGTATGTGAATTATTATATCCCTGCATAAGAAAGATTTCTGATTCAGAAAGCATGCTGAGGAAGATCAGAACAGGTATGCTTCGTGCAGAGTGGCATGCTTCGCTGCGGAGGACACGAGTGAGGAGTATTGTCTGGATTTTTTTACCGGGTTGGGTAATGAACAGGCGGACAGACTGGCTGGCTCTGCACAACTTGGTGGAATACTGCTACATGATAGGGCAGACGTGGTTAGTGCCTTGTGGGAGAGCGTGTACAATGCGGAGGAGCAGATGGATCACCACAGTCTGGTGAGATTGATGCAGTTGGGGGTGACGAGAGGTTCTGGCAGAAGGAAAGGCAAGACGGACGTTTAATCATAAAGCTACTGGGACCATTAGTATCCGAACTCTTCGCTGGCTGCTGAAGATGGGGACGGAGCGCTTATGGGAATGCCCCGAGTGCTGTGATGTCGGTTCTTGAATCAAATCAAATCAAATATATCCCTGCATGGCATTTGGAAAAAGGGGGATTTATATTGAAGAATGTGTTCATTTTATAATCGATGGTATATGTTTTTAGCATTTTTATTGAAGAATCTGTTCATTTTATAATCAACAGTAATGAGTTTTTACCATTTATATTGAAGAATCTGTTCATTTTATTTTCGACAGTAATACGTTTGTACCATTTCTGTTGAAGAATCTGTTGACTTTGTATTCGTCAATAATGAATTTTAAAAATGTTTTCTTCTTCTTCTTTTCTTCTTCGCGTTCACCAGCTGTAAACTCTGGTGGAGAGTTCTGGTTGTTCATCCACTTCTGGACTGCAGCCCTATTCCAGAACCTGAACGTTGCATGTGCATCTGTTTTACAGATCTGACTCATTTGAATGCAGACTGCTGGTTCCTTGTCTCTCAGGCAGATGCACTCTGACTTTGAAGAAAGCTCCCAGTTAGTCGACTCTTACGACATGCCTTTGGGTAGGCAGTTGTTCTGTTCTTGTTTTCCCTTATTCAATAATGAGTTTTTACCATTTCTATTGAAGAATTTTTATTTTATAATTGATATTAATGAGTTTCTACCATTTATGTTGAAGAATCTGTTCATTTGATAATTGACAGTAATGAGTTTTTACCATTTCTATTGAAGAATCTGTTCATTTTGTAATTGACAGGAATGAGTTTTTACCATTTTATTTTAAAGAATCTGTTCATTTAATTGACAGAAATGAGTTTTTACCATTTCTTTTTAAGAATCTGTTCATTTTATATTCGGCAGTAATGAGATTTTACCATTTCTGTTGAAGAATCTGTTCATTTTATAATTGACAGTAATGAGTTATTACCATTTCTGTTGAAGAATCTGTTCATTTTATAATTGACAGTAATGAGTTTTTACCATTTCTATTGAAGAATCTGTTCATTTTATAATTGACAGTAATGAGTTTTTACAATTTCTATTGAAGAATCTGTTCATTTTATAATTGACAGTAATGAGTTTTTCCCATTTCTATTGAAGAATCTGTGGGTTGTATATTCTACAGTAACCAGTTTTTAGTGTGTCCACTCAAGCATGCAGCAGTTTTGATGACACTGAAAGGAGATCACAAAATAGTCCCACTGGATGATGAGGTTAGTTCATCAAGCCAACAGTCTGTGTCTTGTGTCTACTAAACTCTGTCTTCTTCTTAATGTTTGCCAGCTGTGAATTTAGGAGGAAAGTCCTGGTTGTATGTTCATTTCTTTCTGGATTTTAGTCTTGTTCCACAACTTTAGTTTTGCTTGCACATATATTGGTGGGGAAAAGAGGGTTAGTGAGTTGTTTCTCCCATGTGAGGAATGTCTAACAGACAGACAGACAGACAGACATGTATTGATTGTCACTAATAGTAAGAAGTAGAGCAATAAGACACACTAGACAACATAAAAATCTAAAGCTGTAGTCACTATACTGGGAATCAAATCTGCTACTTCCAGATGATGAGTGTCTTGCCGCAGGAACAAGTGTACTGTAACACATGACCAACAGGAGCCCCTGTCTCCCCATAGCTGATGTCTGAGCTGGATCTTACCTTTCCATCTATACCTCTTAAAATTTTGGTCATCTTATTGACTCTCATGCAGATGCACTCCGACTTCGAAATATGCCTCTAGTTAGTCAACTCCTAGGACATGCTTGTTGGCGAAACAGTGGGTCTATTCTTCTTTTTCCCGCAGTGGAGCACAGGAACCCAAACAGGGAGGCTATTCTGTAATTTTCTATATTACCTTTTTATTGTTTTATCTCCAGCACATTTGTTCATGTATTTCTCAGTTAAATTTTAAATCGAGAGAATCAACTTCATTGCACAAAGTTTCTGTCTCATATGGCTCAGTCTCTCTCTGCAGAATGTCTAGTAGCCTGCCGAGAGCATCGCACAGAGTACGAACTCAGAAGCTCGGATGATTATCCCCGGGATATCTGTAAAAATTGCACTTGTGAACTGAAGAAGGAACATACCACCTTCAGAATGTGAGTGAAATGACTCGACCACTTCGCCACGGAGACCCCCTTTAGTCATCCCTTTTTATCATTTATTTTATTTTATTTCCAGTCAGATCTGAATATCATTGCATCCTTTGACAGAAGGGGGCGCTACATCTACACAGGAAATGCTAAAGGAAGGGTATGTGGGAGTGTATTTGTTGCTTTATCTTTATTTTAGGCACAGTCACTTTGCCATGCTTATCAATCTTTTTTTTTTTTTTTTAACTTTAATTATTCTGTAGTTCGTCATACTATAAAATAAAGACCAGTGTAATGGCTAGATGCTTGTTTGCTAGCCTGTATCCTAGGGTTCAAATCTGCATCGTTGTGAATTTGTTCACAATTGACCTTGACTCCCTGATCAACCAAGCCTAAAATGGGTACCAGCCAATGTCCTGATAAGTAGATTCGTGATGTCGACCTCACCACTCAATAAATTCCCATTGGTCTATAAAAAAAATACACATTTAGCACTATTCGTCCAATGCCCCTAAAGGTGTACAAATTGTACTTTGCATATGTATCTATGTTGTATTTTGAGAAGGCATACAGCACAAGTCCTGTGTGTCAAAACACACTTGTGCAATTTGACAACATGTTCTTTTTACCATCTCTCAGTAACTGAGGCTGAGAAGACAATTAATTTTCTAGATATTAATATTTTGACTTTTAGCTGGCACAGAGATTCAAATAATATATTTTGATTTTATTTTGACAGCTGTTTAGTACAGTGTTTTCCAAACTTTTTTTTTTAGTCGTGGCACCTTTTTTTTCGGTTAAAAAAATTTCCGCGGAACCCTAACCTAAATGAAAGTATTACTGTTCGTATGTAAGAGATTAAAAAAAAGAAATAAAACTCGTGTACCTTTGAATATTTCATGGCGCCCCTGTAGAGAGGTCACGGCTTGGGATTCACTGGTTTAGTCGATTTTTCTGTATAGTTTTGTTATTGAGAAATTTAATTGCGATACCTTTTTATAAGGCGGAGGAAGAATACATTAGTACCGTTCCAAGCGAGTAGTTTTGGTGCAGATAACATTTCTTAGCCAACAAAATTGGCACAAAAAATCCAGACCACAGCTATAACTGATGCTACTCGCAGTAAGTTAAATGTGGTCAGTTATTTTTTTTTCTTAAATGGATGGATAGATCCTCTGATCTGCCAGCTTCTACAGCATGCTTTGTTCCAAATGAATTGGGGTTACCTTTCCTTTGGAGTCAACAAGGCAGACATAGAGAGGGATTGTGCTGCATGGGCAACACATAGTGTCAACAGTACTTCCCCAGCTTTGAGCTTTGAAGAGGAGCAGCTTCAACCCCAGCTTTAAATCATATCGCTGGGGCTGTGAATCCCTTTTCTTCTATGGCACAGTGGAAAGCTCGCCTAGAAATATGGAAAGGTGCCAGTCTTCTTAAAATGTGTGAAAGTTTGTCACTTTACACCCGTTTGGTTGTTTGTGACATGAAATTAACTTTGTATGGTATGAATGTGTATTAAATGATCTGGCTATAAACTCTGGCAGAATGTTGTCTTTGTTTATCTATTCCAGATCCTGAGTGTTGTAAACACATCCATTCTACGGATCTAGCCCATTTGTATGCAGAGTGTTGGTTCCTTGCCTCTCAAGCAGATGCACTCTGACTTTAAAGGAAGCCCCCAATAAGTCGACTTTAGGATATGCTTGTTGGGGAGGCAGTATGGGACTATTCTTTGTTCCCCCACAATGGGGCCCTGGTACCCACACAGGGACTTTGTTAATTGATACTTGCTTTCTGTTCATCTTCCAGATCCTAGCATTCACTGCAAACAATTTAGAACTGGCAGCATCGTTCAGGGTGACAACTGGGGGTCTGAACACAACAGCGATAAAATCCATAGAATTTGCCAGACGAGGAGAGTAAGTACAGAACAGTTCTTTAGGCTGCCTATGTGTTACCGCGGTCATTGAGTTATGAGTTAAGAATCAGCATCATAGCACTCTTGACATTCCCATAAGCGCTCTGTCTCCATCTACAGCAGTAAGGGCAGAGTTTTGATTCTGATTGTATGACCATATCACCCCTTCCCTGAGTGTTGAGTGTCGGTCAGATCCCCTGGTCAGTCCTTGCTGCACCATTCTCTCCAGACTATGATGATTTATTTGTACCTCCACACTGTTAAACTCATTCCCAAAGGGCCCTTATAACATCTAGCCTGTTCTGCATCAGTTCACCAAGTTTCACAGAGCCAGCCGATCTGTCTGCCTGTTCATTTTCCAATACACTGGCATACCCTGTAGAAAAATATATATATAATGCTAACTACCTGAGTCCTCTGAAGAGTTACTTGCCACTCTGCCTGGAGCATACCTATCTCCACCTGTCTCAGCAGGCTCTGTGAGTCAGTCAGTCAGTCACAACACGTGTGTGCTGCTGTTTCTCAGGCCTGTCCTTAAAGACACCAAGGATTAAAGCAATGTAACTTAACATGGATGTCATAAACCTTACCCCATAGAAAACTGCAGATTTAAACATGAACACTGGGAGGCTAACCCAGACAAGACAGTGCTGGAAATTTGGTGTTTTGGCCAACAGGTGAAAGAGGCAAGGACTCAAAGACACCTTATTACAAACATCAGAGACAGTCATAGTTTTTGGAGAGGAAATGTTTTCAGACAAAGGAAACTGGAACATGTTGTATGTGACCACTGGAAAGATCTATCTGAGGAGGGGGGAGACGAGGTCTGAGGAGGACAACACAGGTAGATTCTTGACAGCTTTTTGTCATAGCATGGAGGGTGTCAGCACATGAACTGATACATGCTATTGAAGATCAACATATGTGTAGATGCATTATTGCCCACACCAGTCGGCAAGGCACCTAATGATGATAATGCTGTAAACAGTCATAATGCAGTTGTCTAAAACAAAAATCACACAAGCAGAGAAGTAGAAGAAACCAATCATTTACAAGTCTGAAAAAGCCTTGGCATGAGTTGGTTGGGAATGTTTGAACCATTCAGAGATGAATGACAAAAATTAAGAATTTCTTTAGGTTGTCTTGTGTATGTTTTTTTTCTTCTGTTCCATACTGTGTAATTTATGGAGTGACTGCTTTCTTCTGATCTTCTGCAGTATTCTGAGCTCTTGAGGTTCATTGCTACAGATATCACGCGCCTCCCTTCATCTCTCTGATTGGCCTTCTCTTGCCATTCGATGACTTCAGGTGTTTGCAGGTCTGCCTGTATATTATCTGTCCCCTGTCTTCTTGGTCTACCTCATGCTCTACTCCCATTCTGATTTATTTTCCAGAGTGTTTTCTATGTAATGTGGCGTTATATTCCAGTGTGTTTTCTATATAATGTAGCGTTATTTTCCAGTGTGTCTTCTATAAATATAAAGTGTAGGGTTATTTTCCAGTGTGTTTTCTTTATAATGTAGCGTTATTTTCCAGTGTGTTTTCTATATAATGTGGCGTTATTTTACAGTGTGTTTTCTATGTAATGTAGCGTTATTTTACAGTGTGTTTTCTATGTAATGTGGCGTTATTTTCCAGTGTGTGTTCTATATAATGTAGCGTTATTTTACATTGTGTTTTCTATGTAATGTGGCGTTATTTTCCAGTGTGTGTTCTATATAATGTAGCGTTATTTTACATTGTGTTTTCTATGTAATGTGGCGTTATTTTCCAGTGTGTGTTCTATGTAATGTGGCATTATTTTACATTGTGTGTTCTATGTAATGTGGCATTATTTTCCAGTGTGTGTTCTATGTAATGTGGCATTATTTTACATTGTGTGTTCTATGTAATGTAGCGTTATTTTACATTGTGTTTTCTATGTAATGTGGCATTATTTTACATTGTGTGTTCTATGTAATGTGGCATTATTTTACATTGTGTTTTCTAAATAATGTAGTGTTATTTTCCAGTGTGTGTTCTATGTAATGTAGCATTATTTTACATTGTGTTTTCTAAATAATGTAGTGTTATTTTCCAGTGTGTGTTCTATGTAATGTGGCATTATTTTACATTGTGTGTTCTATGTAATGTAGCGTTATTTTACATTGTGTTTTCTATGTAATGTGGTGTTATTTTCCAGTGTGTGTTCTATGTAATGTGGCGTTATTTTACAGTGTGTGTTCTATGTAATGTAGCACTATTTGCCATCTCCAAGATATTAGTATTAATATTACTAGCATTAGAATAATAAATTTTAAGTGAAACAGGTCTACACTGGTGGACATCTTACAAAATTCTACTGTTTAAATTCACAAATAACAATGTAGTGGTGACTGAGTCGTTGAACATTCTTAAGGCAAACTGCTTTTTGCAACATCTCATTCTGAATTTACTCCACAGGTGTTTTCTGGTAAATTCTGCTGACAGAATCATCCGAGTCTATGAAAGTCGGGAAGTACTGACCTGTGGAAAAGACGGAGAGCCAGAACCCATGCAGAAACTCCAAGATTTAGTCAATAAGTGAGAATGCTTTGTTTAAATGTTAAATTTTGTGAACTGATCTAACAGAACAGCAGCTGGCTGAGCCGTTCAGAACGTTTGCGCTATAATGTCGGAGACTTAGGTTTTAATCCTCGATAAGGTTTGTGGTTTTTTTCTGTCAGTTAAAACAAAAATAAAATTCTACTCAGCGCTGTCCGTAGTAACTCCATTAACCATGCAGCCCTAAATCCTTGGGGCTCCCGCTCTTTCCCCGTTTACACCACAACAGTGGTAAATACAGGCACTAACTGCAGTTTGTTGGCACTAAAAATGCCAACACATCCAACTTCAGGCATTTATTATCCAGATTAGCCTTTCTGGCTAGATTCCTAGGGCATATGTAGCCTCAACTCTTGACTATCTGGACACATTTCCAACATTGTAGCAGTTAGGAATGTTGTTGGTGAACTTGCTTCGAGAAAACCCCAGGGTATCAATGGAATTCCTCTTGAGATCATCAGGAGTGGGAAAGACATTCTAACCCTACACATCCATCAGCCAGTAACATTCTGCTGGCAAGAAGGACAGGTTCTGCCAGACTTCAAAGACTCATGCATTGTAACTATGTACAAGAACAAGAGTGATCGCTGTGACTGCAATAACTACAGGGGAATATCACTGCTGTGTACTGTTGGAAAAGTACTCGCTGGAATTGTTCTGCGAAGACTCCAGATCCTAGGAGACCAGGTTTACCCAGAGTCACAGTGTGGTTTTCGTGGGAACCGGTCTACCACTGGTATAGTTTTATTATGACAGTTGCAGGAAAAAGACATGAACAAAATCAACCATTGAATGTTGCTTTTATTGATCTTACCAAGGCTTTTGGTTTGGTTAGTCGAAAAGTTCTGTTCAACACGCTGAAGAAGATTGGATGTCCACCTACTCTACTGAGTATTATTGAGTCGTTCCACACAGGTATGAAAAGTACAATCAACTTTGATGGCGTAACATCGGAGGAGTTCGTAATCAAAAACGGAGTGAAGCAGAGATATTTACTTGCTCCTACCCTATTTGGAATATACTTCTCACTTGTTTTGAAACATGCCTTTTGAGATCAGGAGGGTGGTATATTCATCCATTCTCGATCAGATGGCAGCCTTTACAGTGCTCGTACGCTGAAGGCTAAAACCAGGATAAGAAAGGGACTTATCAGAGAGCTGTTGTTTGCAGGTGATGCAGCAGTTCACATGCTGAAGGAGCTGCAGTGTTCAATATCTTCATTTGCTGATGCTTGCTTTGGATTTGAACATTCAAGAGGAGAGGCAAGATGGACATTTAACTTGATTTTGACCGGTACCATCAGTATTGGAACTCTGCGCTGGCTGCTGAAGATGAGGAAGGAGCACACATGGGAATGCCCTGAGTGCTGTGATGTCATATCTTGACTCAACTCATTGACAATGACACCTTTCACATGGATGCCCCAGGAATTGTTTTGCGCTATTTATTAAAAATATGCATTGGGAATAGCTTTCCTATATGATCATTACACTGTCACCCATATATCCATTGGTAGCAGATTTTTTTTTTTGGGTCATAAAGTAGGTAAACCTGGGATTTATTTTCTGTTTATAATAAATTTTTTTTTAAACAGGACATTGTGGAAAAAGTGTTGTTTCTCTGGTGATGGCGAATACATAGTGGCAGGATCAGCCAGACAGCACTCACTTTATATTTGGGAAAAAGCAGTTGGCAACCTGGTGAAGATTCTCCATGGAACAAAGGGAGAACTTTTACTAGATGTTGTGGTAGGTGTAGAAAGGTCCTATCTTTCACTGTTCTCTTTGTCTCTGCCCCTCTTGTGGTATGTGTAGAGAGGTACTGCATTTCTGACTGTCCCTTTCTGTCTCTGCCTCTCATGTGGCATGTGTGAAGGATTTCTGTGTTTCTTTGTCTCTCTGAGTCTGTCTCTCTTATAAAATGTGTGGAGGGACCCTGTATTGCTGTCTGTCCCTCATGTGGCAGGTATTGGGTGGAGGGCCCTGTATTGCTGTCTGTCCCTCATGTGGCAGGTATTGGGTGGAGGGCCCTGTATTGCTGTCTGTCCCTCATGTGGCAGGTATTGGGTGGAGGGCCCTGTATTGCTGTCTGTCCCTCATGTGGCAGGTATTGGGTGGAGGGCCCTGTATTGCTGTCTGTCCTTCATGTGGCAGGTGTGGAGGGGCCCTGTTTTGCTGTCTGTCCCTCATGTGGCAGGTGTGGAGGGGCCCTGTATTGCTGTCTGTCCCTCACGTGGCAGGTATTGGGTCGAGGGCCCTATATTGCTGTCTGTCCCTCATGTGGCAGGTGTGGAGGGGCCCTGTATTGCTGTCTATCCCTCATGTGATGTGTGGAGGGGCCCTATATTGCTGTCTGTCCCTCATGTGATGTGTGGAGGGGCCCTGTATTGCTGTCTGTCCCTCATGTGATGTGTGGAGGGGCCCTGTATTGCTGTCTGTCCCTCATGTGATGTGTGAAGGGGCCCTATATTGCTGTCTGTCCCTCATGTGATGTGTGGAGGGGCCCTGTATTGCTGTCTGTCCCTCATGTGATGTGTGGAGGGGGCCTGTATTGCTGTCTGTCCCTCATGTGGCAGGTGTGGAGGGGCCCTGTATTGCTGTCTGTCCCTCATGTGGCACGTGTGGAGGGGCCCTGTATTGCTGTCTGTCCCTCATGTGATGTGTGAAGGGACCGTGTATTGCTGTCTGTCCCTCATGTGATGTGTGGAGGGGCCCTATATTGCTGTCTGTCCCTCATGTGGCAGGTGTGGAGGGGCCCTGTATTGCTGTCTGTCCCTCATGTGATGTGTGGAGGGGCCCTATATTGCTGTCTGTCCCTCATGTGGCAGGTGTGGAGGGGCCCTGTATTGCTGTCTGTCCCTCATGTGGCAGGTGTGGAGGGGCCCTGTATTGCTGTCTGTCCCTCATGTGGCAGGTATTGGGTGGAGGGGTCCTATATTGCTGTCTGTCCCTCATGTGGCAGGTGTGGAGGGGCCCTATATTGCTGTCTGTCCCTCATGTGATGTGTGGAGGGCCCTGTATTGCTGTCTGTCCCTCATGTGATGTGTGGAGGGGCCCTATATTGCTGTCTGTCCCTCATGTGATGTGTGGAGGGGCCCTGTATTGCTGTCTGTCCCTCATGTGATGTGTGGAGGGGCCCTGTATTGCTGTCTGTCCCTCATGTGGCAGGTGTGGAGGGGCCCTGTATTGCTGTCTGTCCCTCATGTGGCACGTGTGGAGGGGCCCTGTATTGCTGTCTGTCCCTCATGTGATGTGTGGAGGGGCCCTGTATTGCTGTCTGTCCCTCATGTGATGTGTGGAGGGGCCCTGTATTGCTGCCTGTCACTCATGTGATGTGTGGAGGGGCCATGTATTGCTGTCTGTCCCTCATGTGATTTAAGAATCAAAGGTTAAGAGAGGCTTAGAGGTTAATGAATGCATCCAACTCCCGTAGAAGTTCTTGAGTCTCATCCTGAGTAAAGCAAGAGTAGACCCACTGCCTCCACAATAAGCATATCTCAAGAGTCAGCTAATTAGGGACTTTCTGTAAAGCCAGAGTGCATCTAGGGCAGGGCTATTCTACTGACGGCCTATCAAGTGGCCTGCGGATCGTTGCCAGTATGTCGTACTAAAGAGCTTTCTATGCTAGGGCTCTGACCCACGAAGATCACCATTTAAAAAATTGTAGCCCCTTGAGTGAACCAAGTTGAAAAGTCCTGATCTAGAGGATTGACTACTGCCCAGAGACATCCTGACATCAGAAACTCTTAAAGTCAGGAAACCAGCGTTCTTGTGGTGACAGGGTTGAGAAGAAACATGTTTTTGTTACTCAGTGATTTTTATTTGTCAAATCTTTCTAGTGGCATCCCAGTCAGACCAATCATTGCATCCATATCAAGCGGGCTGGTTTCAATATGGGCACAGAACCAAGTGGTATGTACTGTTGCATGTTTGATTTTGTACTGTTGCATGTTTGATTTATTGCATAGATTATGTTTTTATTGTGCATAACAGTAGAGAAAATGAAAATAAAAAGATCCCTGAAAGGGTTCCGGGGCCGTATTATAGGAAAAACAAGAATAGACCCACTGCTACTCAAAAGCATGTCGTAAGAGTCGACTAATTGGGAGCTTCCTTCAAAGTGCATCTGCCTGAGAGGCAAGGAATCAGCAGTCTGCATACAAATGAGTCAGATCTGTAAAACGGATGCACACGCAACACTTAGGTTCTGGAACAGGACTGCAGTCGAGAAGATGGATCATTACGGTCTAAGGAGAATGGCGCTGCGAGGAGTTAACACGGGCTGACGCTCAACACTCAGGGGAAGGATGAGACGGACATACAGTGAGACAAGTTACTGGTACCATCAGAATTTGAACTCTTTCCTCCTGCTGAAGATAGTGACTGAGCACTTATGTGAGTGCCCTGAGTGCTGTGATGTCGATTCCTATTTCAACATTCAATTCAGTCTGTGGACCATTACCCCCTCGATGTTCACATGTGAAAAAAATGTATTTTTCCTTTTGGGGCTTGATGTTTTAAGAATCTTCCTGTAGCATTTAAGTTTGTCCCTGTGTGGGTTCTGGGGTCCCGTTGTTGGGAAATCAATAATTGACCTACTGCCCCCCTAACAGGCATATCACAAGAGTAGATTAATTGGTGGTTTCGTTCAAAGTCAGAGTGCACCTGCCTGAGAGACAAGGAACCAACAGTCTGCATTCACAAAAGTAAGATCTGTAAAACAGATGTGCACTTAGCACTCAAATTGTAGAACAAGTGTAAAGTCCAGAGGTGGATGAACAGCTAGAACTTTCCGCCGGAGTTTACAGCCGGTGAACATGAATAAGAAGAAGATTTAAGTTTGGTTATCTTATAGTAAGTTATTATGTGTTACTGTTGTTGTATTGATATTTCAGGAGAATTGGAGTGCTTTTGCCCCTGACTTTAAAGAATTGGATGAAAATGTAGAATATGAAGAGAGAGAATCTGAGTTTGATCTGGAAGATGAAGACAAAGAGAAAGAGGAGAGCAAAGGTAAGAAAGTGAACATATTGTCTGGAGGCTGACATTTTCTTTTGGGGTCAAGTTGTTTGCCTCGCGCTCTAAAATTTGTTGGGTTGTTTTACAAGCCTGTGTTTATTTTACGAGTACATTTTTTTTTTACAGAGATCTTTGGGGATTGTCACTGGATCTTTGAGAGTCATGCTTTGTGTGACAATCTTGGCAGGTGGCTTGCCGTTGTGCAAAAAGAGACCTTGCCATATGAGATAAAACCATGCACAATAAAGTTGATCCTCTCGACTCTGTCATTAACGTTTACATGTTTAGATCTGTAAGCTCTATTTATAACAGTTCCTAAAGATTATAGAATTGTTCTCAACTGTTGTGCTAAACTAGTTCTTCACTGTTCTGCTCTTGAGAAACATATATCTAAAACTGAATTAATGTAATTGATGACATTTTACAAGGAATAAATGCACTGGTATTTTTCCCTTATCTTCTGTAGATTTGTAAATTCTTTGTCTTCCTTTGTATAAAAAGATGGGTACTGCACTGCAGCAGGGGGAGAGGTTGTATGTGGCATCTGTTAGGAGCGGTTATGTATAACATTTCTTCCCAGTCATCACTAGACCTCATTTACAGAGAAGAAAGTTTAGATCAGCTGTCCCTTAACAAGCATCCTGTAAAAGGTTTTTAATTTTTAGAGTTTGCTTGTGTTGCATGTTTTGGGCTGAAGGGCACAGTTCTCACAGCAAAGCCGTAAACCACAACGCGAATGCCAACTGCCATTGTCAAGGCAGGAGAGGGTGTATGACACTAGTTGCTTATCCCTGAATGGGTTCCGGGGCCCTGTTATAGAGAAAACAAGATTAGACCCACTGCCTACCCAAAACCATTTCGTAAGAGTCGACTAATTTGAAGCTTCCTTCTAAGTTGGAGTGCATCTGCCTGAGAGGCAAGGAACCAGCAGTCTGCATACAGATGAGCCAGATCTGTAAAACGGATGCACGCGCAACACTCAGGTTCTGGAACAGGACTGCAGTCCAGAAGTGGATGAACAACCAGAACTCTCCGCCAGAGTTTACAGCTGGTGAACGCGAAGAAAAAGAAGAAGAAGACTTGTTGCTGACTCTATGTAAATTTATACTATAATTTTCGTAGCAACCGTTTCTCTAAGCATCGGAAAAATGTCAGTCATAGAATTTCTGTGTACTATCATCATCATGGTCCCTGCCCAGCAGGGTTGGCGCTCAGCTCTCTCTTCCCACACAGATCTGTCACTGGTATTTTGAATCAGTTGTACTGAAGATATTCTCATTATATGACCTGAAGATGTACTGTTGGAGCATTATTACCCAAGCCAGTCAGCAAGGCGCTTGATGATGATGATTAGTGACATGTTTGTTGATTTTTTGCCTCAGGATTAGTGAACCAAAATACCCTTGATGTTTCAGGGCTCTAGTTTAGGCGGAAAACTCCATCTCCACTGCCTCCCCAACAAGCATGTCTTCAGAAGTGACTAATCAAGGGTTTTGTTGGTGTGCTGGGCCGGGTAGATCTAATTTTTATTGATAGTATTTTCCTGTCAAATTCTGATGTTCTTCTGCTTCTTCTTTGCATTCACCAGCTGTAAACTCCGGCGGAAAGTTCTGGTTGTTCATTCACTTTTGAACTGCAGTCCTGTTCCAGAACCTGAGTGTTGCCTGTGCATCCATTTTACAAATCTGACTCATTTGTATGCAGACTGCTGGTTCCTTGCCTCTCAGGCAGATGCACTCTGACTTCAAAGGAATTCCTATGTTAAAAAGTCCATATGTCATAGCCGAAATTAAACATTTTGACAGCTAGTACTGTATGCAGTCTTCTTGTTCTTCTTCGCCTTCCCGGCTATAAACTCCGGCAGAAAAGTTCTGGCTGTTCATCCTATCTAGACTTTGGTCTTGCTCCAGAACTTGAGCTTTGTGTGCACATTTGTTTGACAGATCTGACTAATTTGTATGCAGACTGTTGGTTCCGTGCCCCTCAGGCAGGTGCTCTCGGCTTCATAGGAAATGCCCCTAATTACTCGCCTTTTTTGACATGCTTAGGGGATGGAGGCAGTGGCTCTGTTCCACCCCCCCCACCCCAAAATGAGGCCCTGGAACCCACATAGGAGGCTCTAAGCAGTCATGTTTTTCTTTAAAACGAGAGAAAGTGTTCTGCTGTGAATAAAATTATGTTTTCCATGATTTACCCAGTGCCGGTTGAAGAAGATGGGGAAGTGGATGTCTGGACTGTGGAGCCCATCCAGGCGTTCGTCAGCAGGTTTGTTAGCATGGTTTTTGTAGACGATATTTTAATAATAACTGCAGGTAAACAGCAAGCTAATGTATTCCATGCTGTCTTGAAGCAGACACACAAAAGCATTGCATTATCATTACTACACAAACATGCAAGTACTTTACCAGCCCTTGTTGTACTCGTTAGATGTACAGAGGATGGCAGTATCCAGCTGAATACCGGTGTGAGAATCCACATCATGGCACACCGGGCATGCCCGTAAATGCTCCATCTCTCATGGCCTTTTGTTTTTTAAGAATTAGGTTAAGAAAAATTATCATATTTTCAGTGATCTCACTTTGGCATCCTCTTTTTTAAAGAGACCCCGGCAGCCTTTCTTAGGCATTTTATCTTTTATTTGTCAAGTTGTCTTTATAGATAAGCTACAAGTTGGACACTGACAGCCGAGTGTGGCCTTTATAAAGTGAGCCATTGGGCATATGGTGCTTGGCTCACATTTTTATAGACCAGATGGCATTCGGTGGGTGTTGGAGTCAGCATCATGTTAGTTACCCATTTTATGAGGCTGGGTGGACCCCTTGGTTGTCTTTCTTTAGTGTTAGTCGTAACAGAGCACTTGGCATGGTAGCTGTTGTTACAGCTAGGCTATGATATCTCTGCCTTTCGACCCAGAACATCCAGTTTCGGCAAAGCCATAATTAGTTGCCTTTTGTGACATGTTTGTTAGGAACAGTGGGTCTTTTTTTTAAAACCCCTAAATTGATTCCCTGACGCCCAAACAGGGTAACCCCATGGGGGAAGGGGGGTTTACTGCGGACTGAATCCCACAGTTCATTATTTTTTTTCTTTTTCTTTGTGTTCACCTACTGTAAACTCTAGTGGAAAATTCTGGTTATTTGACCACCTCTGGATTTATGTCTTGTTTCAAAACATTAGTTTTGCATCCACATGTATTTTACAGATCTAGCTTATTTATATGCAGACTGTTTGTTCCTCACCCTCTCAGGCAGATGTACTCTGACGTTGAAGGAAGCACACCTAGTTAGTTGACTTTCATGACATACTTGAGGGGGTGAGTGGTCTTTTTTTTAAAATATGGGTACCCGGAGTTTAGTATTTACAGAAAAATTATATGTAGAAGACGACAAATGCTAAAAGTATGGATATTTATTTATCTTTCAGCGATGAAGAAGAAGAGGATGAAAGTGCACTGTTGTTTCTGCCTGTGTCTCCTGAGGTGGAGGAACCTGAGGATGGATGGTCAGGAAATGCAGAATCAGTAAGTCCTGAGCATGTTGTGTGTGAAACTGTGCATGTGTTTGTTGTGTGTGAAACTGCGTTCTCAGTTCTCCCACATGTCTGGATATAACTAGTATAAAATATAATTAGTTTGCTTTTTTTTTTTTTTGGGGTAGTCTTTTCTCTCTTTTTCCCATTTTTAAAAAATTAAATTCTTGTGACACTTTTTCAGTTTGCATGTAAGGTTCATCTGTGTATTTTTTCTTAGGTAAGGTTTCTGTCTGTCTGTCTCTCTGTCTCTCTCTCTGTCTCTGTTTCTCTTTCTCTCTCTCTGTCTGTCTCTCCCCCCCCCTCTTGTTTGTTTGTTAGTTGTATAAAAGATCATATTTTACATGTCTTGTGTAACGTTCCTTTCTTTTGTAGATTGTATCATTTATGTAAAAGATCACATGTTACATATCTTGTGTAACGTCCTTTCTTTTGTTCATTGTATCATTTATGTAAAAGATCACGTTACATGTCTTGTGTAATGCCCTTTCTTTTGTTGATTGTATCATTTATGTAAAAAATCACATGTTGCATGTCTTGTGTAATGTCCTTTCTTTTGTTTGTTGTATCATTTATGAAAAAGATTACATGTTACATGTCTTGTGTAATGCTTTCTTTTGTTGATTGTATCATTTATGTAAAAGATCACATGTTACATGTCTTGTGTAATGCCCTTTTTTTTGTTCGTTGTATCATTTATGTAAAAGATCACATGTTACATGTCTTGTGTAACGTTTTTTCTTTTGTTCGTTGAATCATTTATGTAAAAGATCACATGTTACATGTCTTGTGTAATGCCTTTTTTTTTTGTTCGTTGTATCATTTATGTAAAAGATCACATGTTACATGTCTTGTGTAACGTTTTTTCTTTTGTTTGTTGAATCATTTATGTAAAAGATCACATGTTACATGTCTTGTGTAATGCCCTTTCTTTTGTTCGTTGAATCATTTATGTAAAAGATCACATGTTACATGTCTTGTGTAATGTTCTTTCTTTTATTGATTGAATCATTTATGTAATCAGCATCATAATCAGTGTGTGTGCAGTCTTCTTTTGTTGTTGTTATCGTGTATATAAAACAGTCTAAGTTTGCATATCTTGTATAAGGTATATTTTTCTCTTGTTGATGGTGTCATGTAAAACATCATTTATATTTCTTGATGGCGGTTTACTGTGTATTTTTATTTTTATGATGTATTTTTTTTTTTAATTATTGTTTATTTAAAACTTTTCCAGTTTGCATGCCTTGGGTAAAGTTTATGATGCCTCTGATAAGGGACTTTATCAGTGTGAATGTGTAAGGTTGTCTCCTTCTATTGATAGTATTATGGCTTGTTTTCTGTGTGTGAATTATGGGTCACCATTGTAGAGAGGAAAAGAATAGACACCCCCCCCCCCCCCCCCCCCCCCCCCTTTCACCCTTCAACAAGCGTGTGGTAAGAGTAAACTAGTTAAGGGTGTTCCCTTCGAGGTCAGAGTGCATCTACCTGAGAGCCAAGGATCCAAAAATGTGCATACAAATAAGCCAGATCTGTAAAACAAATGTGCATGTAAAACTCATGTTCTGAAACAAGACTAAAGTTCAGAATTGGATGAACAGTAGAATTTGCCCTTGGAGTTTACAACTGGTAAGTGCTAAGAAGAAGAAGGAAACCATCAGTGTAAACTCGCTGACATTTTGCTTGAGTTTTTTTTTTTTTTTTTGAACTTTCTTGAGTCCCAAGCAAACCATGTTTTGTCTGGCTCTTTTAATTGAATCCCAACAATCACATAATTGTTTGGTCAGAGAATGCTAGTAAAATCTGACTTCCTGTGTGGCTACTTCCAGTCACTATGCTTTTTGCCTAATAAAAGTTATTCACTTTTGATTGTTTATGTTGGTTATTGGGAGTATATGCAAAAACCTTCTAGGACTCTGAGTCAAAATACAATATCATAATGAAAAGGAAGCAGAACTTTCTGCCAGAGTGTACAACCGGTGAACGCTAAGAAAAAGAAAATATCTTTTTTAAGGTCTTTGTTTATTCTTAGTCCATCTTGTATGAATGTTTATTTGAATATGTCTTGCCCTCTTGTATTTCTTTTTTTCTTTGATGTTTTCTTTCATTTATATTTTGTTTCTTTTAAAGAAGAGAACCCTGTTCACACCTGGCACATCCGGCGTATGGTGATGGACCCATATTGTTTTTATCGACCGATCTATTCTTGATGTGGTCAACATCATACCAGCCACCTTTACTTACCCAAGACCTTTCCTTTGGTATCCAAGTTAGGCTTTTATTTGTGCCTTCGTTCTCTTTGTTGAGGTTCTTAACTTTCTGCAGCCTCTTTCTTTAGATTATACAAGGATAATATTAGCGTTTAAACTAACCTTTAGCACGTTACAAAAATTGCAGTACAGACCAGGATCCAAATATGTGTATATCAGAATTGCATGTGCAGTAATTCTTTTGGTTTATGTTTGTTGTTGTTGATAGTTAGTTAGTCTTTCCTCTTATGCCTAGGCGGCACATAGGGCAGAGGTCATAGCTGTCCATGTCTGGCGGTTCGTTGCCACCTGCTTTAGGCCCATGGTTGAGCCTTCCGTGATGATAGTTCTAGAGAGATCATTGGTCTTCCTGGTTTTATTTTCCCTTCCGGTGTCCATATGAGGGCTTGATGGGGAAGTTGAGTGCTTTATTAATAACCTCCCCCAAACAGGGGAAATCCACAGGTCACGGGACAGTCTAATATTTCAGGAGGTGGTAGATAGGCTGCATGCAGTCGTGGGGTCTAGGCTGCATGCAGTCGTGGGACATAGGCTGCACTCTCTCGTGTGACATAGGTGGGTTGGGGTTAGGGCCAGTTCTAGATGTTTTGGGGCGGTTAAAAGCATAAGAAAGCCGGGAAACCCAGTGTTACCACCCTCTAAAATGTTGGACTGTCCTGTGACGTCATCTGGGGTAGAATATTAATAAAGCACCGGAAGTTGTGGTAGTAAAAATAAGTAATTCAAAAGGAATCTTTGCCTGCCATTGGGGCGTTGTACATATGGTGCTGGATCAGTAATTTGTACGGGCTTTTTGGCTTTTGATAGGTAATATGGTAAATCACGCTAGCCACCTTTACTTCCGATGGTACTTTCAGATGTTGAGATTAATAACTAATTGGTTATTCTGTAATGCATGCCTGCTTGATTTATTTAATATATCTAGTATGTAGTCATCCTGGCTTGTGACCAAATATCTGTGTGTGTGGTTTTTTGTTGTTGTTGCAAGGTTGTTTTATTATTATTATTTACTTAGAATAGATTGTCTCTTAATTTCCACTCTGTTTTATTTATTGTGCTGTCCATTTTTTATTTGCTTCCCACAAACACATCTTTTTGATCAGAAAAGACCAACGCAGTCTGCTGTAACCAGAGTCTCGGTAAAGACTGTTGTAGTTGTGTTGCTTATGGCACTTTTGTTGTTGTTGTAGTTGGGAGATGGTGGGGATTCACTTGACCGTTGCGCTGCATCTGTTTGTGCTTTGTAGTGTTTATACCTGTTAGATCTCTGAGAAGAGATCCTTTCCTGTTCTTTACCAGTCGCTAGTGTAGAACAATGGGTTGTTTGCCTGCCTGACCTTGGGGATGATATTGCCAGCAGGCAAATTTTTCACAAAGTGGCCTTGGTTCCCAGGTTGACCCAGCTTAAAATGAGATGAGAAAATCTCCTGGGAAGTAAAGATGGACATCATGATGTTGACTGCATCACCTTTAGAGTATCAGTTTGTTTATAAAAAATATGAGTCTAACACAAAATACCGGATGGCAAGGGGTTTTGCAGCTAAGTTTACTTAGGGACAGAATGTTAAAAATGAGGATCGTCACGGTCCAGAGGCCTGAGCCTCAGCGTAGAAAGAATGTTGAATTAAGAATCGACATCACAGCACTCAGGACACCCCCATATGCGCTCCATCTTCAGCAGCAAGCGAAGGGTTAAAATTCTGATGGTACCAGTAACTCTGTGGCTTTAGCTTAGAAAGATTATTAATACAGTGCAGTTGACAACAATCCACAGGATTCTTGCTAGCCTCTTAGGGCCACCATACAGTTATGTTCCACATGATTCTAGCTAGCCTCTGAGGGCCACCATACAGTTAGCAACAATCCACAGGATTCTTTATAGCCTCTGAGGGCCACCATACAGTTAGCAATGATCCACATGATTCTAGCTAGCCTCTTAGGGCCACCATACAGTTATGTTCCACATGATTCTAGCTAGCCTCTTAGGGCCACCATACAGTTATGTTCCACATGATTCTAGCTAGCCTCTGAGGGCCACCATACAGTTAGCAACAATCCACAGGATTCTTTATAGCCTCTGAGGGCCACCATACAGTTAGCAATGATCCACATGATTCTAGCTAGCCTCTGAGGGCCACCATACAGTTATGTTCCACATGATTCTAGCTAGCCTCTGAGGGCCACCATACAGTTATGTTCCACATGATTCTAGCTAGCCTCTGAGGGCCACCATACAGTTAGCAACAATCCACAGGATTCTTGCTAGCCTCTGAGGGCCACCATACAGTTAACAATGATCCACATGATTCTAGCTAGCCTCTGAGGGCCACCATACAGTTAGCAACAATCCACAGGATTCTTGCTAGCCTCTGAGGGCCACCATACAGTTAGCAACAATCCACAGGATTCTTGCTAGCCTCTGAAGGCCATCATACAGTTAGCAGTGATCCACAGGATTCTTGCTAGCCTCTGAGGGCCACTGTACAGTTAGCAATGATCCACGTGATTCTAGCTAGCCTCTGGGGGCCACCATACAGTTAGCGACGATCCACAGGATTCTAGCTAGCCTCTGAGGGCCACCATACAGTTAGCAATGATCCACAGGATTCTTGCTAACCTCTGAGGGCCACCATACAGTTAGCACTGATCCACAGGATTCTTGCTAGCCTCTGGGGGCCACCATACAGTTAGCAATGATCCACAGGATTCTTGCTAGCCTCTGGGGGCCACCATACAGTTAGCAATGATCCACAGGATTCTTGCTAACCTCTGGGGGCCACCATACAGTTAGCAATGATCCACAGGATTTTTGCTAGCCTCTGGGGGCCACCATACAGTTAGCAATGATCCACAGGATTCTTGCTAGCCTCTGGGGGCCACCATACAGTTAGCAATGATCCACAGGATTCTTGCTAGCCTCTGAGGGCCACCATACAGTTAGCAACAATCCACAGGATTCTTGCTAGCCTCTGAGGGCCACCATACAGTTAGCAACAATCCACAGGATTCTTGCTAGCCTCTGAAGGCCATCATACAGTTAGCAGTGATCCACAGGATTCTTGCTAGCCTCTGAGGGCCACTGTACAGTTAGCAATGATCCACGTGATTCTAGCTAGCCTCTGGGGGCCACCATACAGTTAGCGACGATCCACAGGATTCTAGCTAGCCTCTGAGGGCCACCATACAGTTAGCAATGATCCACAGGATTCTTGCTAACCTCTGAGGGCCACCATACAGTTAGCACTGATCCACAGGATTCTTGCTAGCCTCTGGGGACCACCATACAGTTAGCAATGATCCACAGGATTCTTGCTAGCCTCTGGGGGCCACCATACAGTTAGCAATGATCCACAGGATTCTTGCTAACCTCTGGGGGCCACCATACAGTTAGCAATGATCCACAGGATTTTTGCTAGCCTCTGGGGGCCACCATACAGTTAGCAATGATCCACAGGATTCTTGCTAGCCTCTGGGGGCCACCATACAGTTAGCAATGATCCACAGGATTCTTGCTAGCCTCTGGGGGCCACCATACAGTTAGCAGTGATCCACAGGATTCTTGCTAGCCTCTGGGGGCCACCATACAGTTAGCACTGATCCACAGGATTCTTGTTAGCTCTGGGGGCCACCATACAGTTAGCAATGGTCCACATGATTCTTGCTAGCCTCTGGGGGCCACCATACAGTTAGCAATGGTCCACATGATTCTTGCTAGCCTCTGAGGGCCACCATACAGTTAGCGACGATCTACAGGATTCTTGCTAGCCTCTGAGGGCTTCCATACAGTTAGCGACGATCTACAGGATTCTTGCTAGCCTCTGAGGGCCACCATACAATTAGCAATGGTCCACAGGATTCTTGCTAGCCTCTGAGGGCCACCATACAATTAGCAATGGTCCACAGGATTTTTGCTACCCTTTGAGGACGGCCAGATGAAAAGCCATGGTATATGGTTATTGGTTATATTTTGTTTGCTTCTGTAGCTGTTATAATTGATGGTTATATTTGGTTGCTTCACCATGTTTCTTCTGGGTTTTTTTTTTTTTGGGGGGGGAAGGGGGGGGGCATTCTTTTTATTAGCATTGTTTTAAGTGAAGGGGGTGAGTTTTCTATGAATTCTTTCAACTGAAGGCAATTGTTACTTCATAACTCTCTCCTTCAAAGTTTGTGTAATTTTTAGATTTATAATCTGTGAGACCTAATGGTTTCAAATAGAACAGTTATCATATATAATGAGTTTGACATTGAAGATGCATTGATTATGAAAGCTCTTAGGGCCGGAAAATAGAGGAGAGACTTTCGTGCGTCCCGTGACGAGATCGGTGTTTTATAAAGAATCGTTTGATCGATGATGACATTAGTCAACAGCGGGTCTATCTCCTCCTCCTCCTCTTCCCCCACTAGGACCACAGAACCTATACAGTGAGAATTACTGTATCTAATTTTGCCATAATAAACTGAATACTTTCTCTCACAGCTTAGATGGACAGTGGCTGCAAAAGTATGTCATGTATTGAAGTTGATAGTTCAGTTTGTTCCAGCTTTGAATTGTAGCTTCTTTCCAGTTCTTGTTTTGGTGTGTGTGGAGTTTTACATTTTTTTTAAAAAATCAGAATTTCACCCTCCTCACACTTATACACGCCCAATTATTTTCTTATTTGTACAAGGGAACCAATTTTTAAAAAAAAAAAAAACAGTATTATGATGAATTTTTTGACCCATCAAAGTGCAAACAGCGAGGAATGGAGAGTGAGAAGCAAAAGCAAAATTCATAATCTGTTTAAATCAGCATTGATCACTGGCAGCATGAGATATAATAGACTTAAATGGCTTGGGGAAAATGGAGAAAATGTAAAATGACAGAGTGGTAAAAACTGTATACACAGGGCAGCTGAATAGTCGTAGACCACAAGGCAGACCAAGAAGAAGATGGAGAGATAATGCCCAGACATACCTGCAAACACTTGGCGTCACTAACTGGAAAAAGAAGGCCAGCCAGAGAGATGAGTAGAGGTGGGTGATATCAGCAGCAATGAACCTCAAGGGCTGGGAATGCTGAAGAAGAAGAAGAAGATGTACAAGGAGGGCTACAAATGAAAACCTTCAAAGTGTGATAGAAATTACAGTAGCCTTGCCATTATCTTGTAACCTGTCAGTGTTGTTGTTAACTGTCATAGAAGTTGTGCTGTTTTGAAGCTTCCTACTACACTCATACATTTGCAGGACTGACAGGCATGAATCACCATGCTGGACCTTCATTCCGATGAATTTCTGTACATTTCTCCCCTTCACTGATTTGAAGAAGATTAAAACACCAGATAACAGAACGCTGCTGCTCTTCTTCAGTGCATGTAAAAAGTGGGGCGGCCATTATTGAACTGTCGTTATGATGTCACTGTGTTCTTCTGCTTGTGATGTCACTGTTTAACATTCTTGGCTAATTAGGGGGTTTTCCTTCGAAGTCAAAGCGCATCTGCTTAAGAGGTGAAGAACCACCAGTCTGCACACAAGTTAGCCAGATCTGAAAAACTGGTGTGCACACAAAACCCAAATTTTGAGACAAAACCAAAGTCCAGAAATGAACAAATAACCTGAACTTTCCTTTCTGCTGGAGTTTACAGCCTGTGGACACAGGGGAGCAAGATAAATCTGTTATATATTTTCATTTAAAAGTGTGTGTCTTTCTTTAATGTGCAGACAATGTGTTTTCTTTTCAGGGCCTACAGAGACAGTTTACACATGTCAGCACCTTTGTTTCTTCACCAGTCATTGGTTTTTGCTTTCTTCTCTTTGCTAGCCACAAGCTTACTCCACTTACACTCAGAAATAATATTTAAAAAAAGCCAGGCTTGTTAAAAATTTTGCATTCGGATTCTCCCTGAGTGGGTTTTGGGGCCCCATTTTGGAGGGGATAAAAGATTACACCCGAGCACTAACAGTTGGTTAGTTAATCTTTCCTGTGGAGCGTAGGGCAGAGCTCTTCCACAAATTTCTTGGTGTTATCAAAACATCTCTTGTCTTTTGTGTTCATATGGTAATTTATCTATCAGTTCTCCGTCTTTTTCTAAATTACTGCCCAAACAGGTGTGTGACTCCATGCCTTGGAGGAAGTGTCACTAAGAGAAATTAGATTACTGTTTACCTGATTATCTTTGTTTCTCCAGTCCTACACTGCCTTAAAAAAAGTAGTACTATCGCTAACACAGTGTTTTGTTTTTTCCCTTTAAATAAATATCATGAATCCCTCAAAGTACATCTGCTCGAAAAGCAGGAAATACAGTAAAACTTTCCATCGGATCTAACAGCTGGTGAACAAGAAGAAGAAGAAGAAAAATATCATAAAAACATATCAGACCAGATGAAAAGTAGAGCCAGTCAGCTTCACAATATCACAAACACAAAGTACATCACATGAATCTACGATATCAGAAGTACGAACAAGAATACACAAAAATCACTTAACTGGCGAATGTCTGATAGAACTCCTATTTCTGTCTGGCCAATAAAATATCTGAAAACGTATGTGGCCACTGGAAATAGATTCTGACCAGAAAACGCCACAGGTGACAAGGGCTGTAGACTGGAGCGATGAAGACAAATTTAAAAGAATGAAATAATCGAAGCGGTAACACGAAAAAAATATAGCACATGTGAGTTAAATGGGCACAAACAGATAGTAGCAGTTGTGGGAGGGCGGAACACACTGTAGAGGTGAAATGACTGGAGATCTGCTATGATGCTATAAAAATATAGCATCTAGCCGCTACACCAAAGCGGCTCCAAAACTGCGATTATAAAAGAAGAATTGAATTGATGTTCACGTGTAGCATCTTAAAATATTCAGAAAATTGTACAGTTTTAGACTGCCTTTAGTTCACTTTGATGTGGGCACCCTAAGTGCTCAGGTGATGCCTAGAAGGTATTCAGTCTCCTGCCTTGTCTGTGTAATCATGTCCAGATTAACAGCTGCAGCAGCAACTTTCTCATTAGGGTGTTGGGTCTTCCATATCTCCTCAGTCGTTTTGAGCCTCATGGTCACCCAAGGTCAGTCAAAACTTTACACTTTTCTGAACATTTAAAGATGCCACATGTGTGTATCCATTAAATACTTCTCTTATAATAACTGTTTCATTATAATGTGAGTTAAATGGGCACAAACAGATAGTAGCAGTTGTGGGAGGGCGGAACACACTGTAGAGGGGAAATGACTGGAGATCTGCCGTGATGCTATAAAAATATCATGAAAAGATAAAAGATTTTAAATAAATAAATTTTTATTGAAAGTGGGCAATCCCTTCCACGTATGCTTGCTTTATTGTTTTTTCCCCCCACTAGCTTACTTCATTTATCCTTGAAAATACTGAAGATACCCCTGGCTTTTTAATTTCCATGCTTTCTTCTCAGCTTCCTGTGCCTGAAGTAATTTACTTGCAACCTGACTAAATTATTTTGTTTGTTTGTTTGTTTTTGTTTTAGTTTAAACAAATGAATACTTTCTTGAACTGATTTGAGACGTTATATTTTATAAGTTGAATTGAACTTTTTCAACAATATTCCACAGGAGTTGTCTGTTTTAGTGTTTGACATTAATAAGAGCTTGCAATGTTTCTAAAGCAAATCTGTATTTTAAAGTTGTGAACAGGGTGATTTTAAAAATACATTTTGCTTCCTTCAAAGTCAGAGTGCATCTGCCTGAGAAGCAAGGAACCAGCAGTCTGCATACAAATGAGTCAGATCTGTAAAATGGATGCACACGCAACACTCAGGTTCTGGAACAGGACTGCAGTCCAAAAGAGTTTACAGCTGGTGAAGAAGAAGAAGAAGAAGAAAATACATATTAAGGGATTATTCCTCTAAAATATGTTAATGCTTAATGTTTAACTTGAAGTTTGATGTAATTGTAAATCTTTTGTTAAAAAAAAATTGTATTCAGGATGGCTATTTTTCCCTCCACACATTTACATTGCACAGCTAGGAAATCTGCTTGTCATTGCATTAGTGTGCCAGATTTATTACATTTGACTCATTGCTTCAGTACTTGTCAGAGTTACTGTCCAGTGTGATCCTGGCGGTCAACCAGGCCACACATATACCAGGCATTACTTAGTGTTCTGGACATCCTAACTTTGACAAGATGTACGAAAAGTGATTGGGTATATAGTGCTAGACATTTTATTGCATTATTTTTTTTTATAGACCAAATGGCACTAGGTGGGTAATGTGGTCAACATACGCCGGCCACCTTTACTTCTTAGGACTTTACCCGATACCCACTAGAGGTTGAGTCGACTTGGGAGCTAAGGTCATTTTTGAAAGAAAAAAGGTCCAGTTCCATTCAAACTCGAACTGTGACTTTTCGATTTGCAGGCAAGCATCTAGCCGCTACACCAAAGCGGCTCCGAAACTGCGATTATAAAAGAAGTATTGAATGAATGTTCACGTGTAGCTTCTTAAAATATTTGGAAAAGTGTACAGTTTTAGACTGCCTTTAGTTCACTTTGATGTGGGCACCCTTAGTGCTCAGGTGATGCCTAGAAGGTATTCAGTCTCCTGCCTTGCCTGTGTAATCATGTCCAGATTAACAGTTGCAACAGCAACTTTCTCATTAGGGTGTTGGGTCTTCCATATCTCCTCAGTCGTTTTGAGCCTCATGGTCACCCAAGGTCAGTCAAAACTTTACACTTTTCTGAACATTTAAAGATGTCACATGTGTCTTGTCTTGTCTTGTCTTGTCCACAATTGCCTCACAGCGTAGTGGGAAGTCGCAGTTTTCTATCCTGGGCCAGGTGTGTTGCACGTGTTGTTGTTAGTCCGTGTTGCCTCAGGATCTCTGATATATTGTCTATCCATCGTTCTCTCGGTCTGCCTCTTGCTCTAGGGCAGTAGTGCTGTTCGTTGTATGCTCGTAGAGGCAGTTGGTCGGTTTGCATTCGCATCAAGTGGCCAAACCACTCTATTTGTTGCTTCTTTATCTATTGCAGGCATGGTGTGGTTCCTACAATTGATCTAATGTTCTCGTTTCGAACTCTGTCTCTCCTTGTGACATTGGCAACCTTATGTAAGCATCTCATTTCGCACGTCGTGATCTTTTTCTCCAGTGCTCTTGTTAGGGACCAGGTTTGGCATTGGTAGCAGAGGGTTGGTATAAACATGCAATTAATCAGTTGTGCCACATGTGTGTATCCCTTAAATACTTCTCTTCTCTACATAATTTCTGCACTTTTTGTAGAAACTCTGTATTGCACTGATCAGGGGTGCTGGGATGTTTTTCCCTGCCAAGCAGTCCCAGAGCTTGTTCCAGGGTACCTTGTCAAATGCCTTTTCCAGATCCAAAAAACATAAGTGAATCTCACTCTTATATTCCAGGGCTTTTTCACTCATCTGTCTCAGTGTGAAGATAAGGTCTTGAGTACTTCGGTTTGCTCTGAAACCGCACTGGGCCTCGTCCAGCTGTGGCTCTATCAGACTTCTAAGTCTCTGCTCAAGAATTCTAGAGTAACTTTTACCGGGAATGCTGAGGAGGGATATGCCTCTGTGGTTTTCACATTGTCTGTTATCACCTTTTTTAAATATAGGTATAATGATGGCAATCTCCCAATCTTTTGGTATAGTTTTGCTACACCAGGCTGCCTGGAGAACCTTCAGTAGAAGGCGCTCACCTGCGACACCCATATATTTGACCATCTCTGGTGTTATACCATCATGACCTGCTGCTTTTCCCAGCTTAATCTTCTCAATAGCTGCCTTCAATTCTTCCATCCTGATGTTATCTTCCCCATGATTGAATTCCTTCTCAGCAGTGAGGTCCATTATTTCTGGGTCATGACTTCCCTCAGCGCCGAGGAGCTCTGAGAAGTATTCTTTCCATCTGCCCATGATATCATTTGTAGAAGTAAGCAGAGCCCCTTCCTTGTCTTTTATGAATTTAAGTGGGCACTCTTTCTCCTTCCTCATGTTCTTAAGGGTCTTGTAGAACAGTTTTTGGTTTTCTCTTGCATTCTTTTCCAACTTTTCTCCAAACCCATGATTTTTGTTTTGCTTTAAGCACAATATTTTTGGTCTCTGTTCTGAGTGCCACATATTGTTTATATTTTTCTATTTCTTCAGCTGTGTTCCTGGCTGCCAGGTATTGCTTCCATGCCCTTTTCTTTTCTCCTATTTTCAATTTGACTTCTTCTGTCCACCAAGGTGTCCTGTGTCCCCGCCTTCCACTTGGGACTTCACCACATGCTTCTACTGCAGCTGCTGTGAGGATATTCTTGAATCTGCACCAGAGAGTTTCAGTGTCCTCTGATGATTCTTCTTCAGTTCCTATTGCTTTCACTATAAGCTCCTGGTATCTAGCCTTAATATCTGGCTCTCTTAGCTTGTATGCTTTAATCCTCATCCCTTCTTGGTTGCTTGGTTTCTTGCATAGTTGTCGGTGTTGCCTTGTTGGAGCAGTTCTTTCAGTTGTTCTCTTTATTGTGACCAGATAGTGGTCACTTCCAATCTCTGGTCCTCTCATGACTCTGGCATCTCTCACAAACTTGAATGATCTTTTCCTAACTATGGCGTAGTCAATGATGGATTTTTCATTCTTTGAAGGTTCACATCTTGTGTATGCATGTATACGCTTGTGGGGGAATTTTGTGTTTGTAATGACAAGGTTCTGTTCCCTGCAGAATCTGAGAAGTCGCTTGCCATTATCATTCAAAACATCTTCACCATATCTCCCGATCACTCCACCCTATCTAGAGTGATCATTTCCTACTCTGGCATTTAGATCTCCTAGGAGGATAATTTCATCGTGACAGTCATCTATGGTCTTTTGGAGCAGTTCAAAGAATTCTTCTTTAACATCTACTCGCTCATCTTCATTTGGCCCGTACACAATGACAAAATTGACAATTTTATCTTCTTCTTTCAGATCTAACACCATTATTCGCTCTGAGATGAATTTCCATCCCTTGATGTTACTAACTTGATTCCTGGCCACAATACAGCCAACACCTCCCTTGCTCTCTCCGTCATAGGGACACCACTGTAGAGCAGCATACTTCCATCGTGATCTGTGATTCCTTGCCCCTTTTTCTTGGTTTCAGTCAGAGCCAAGACTCCTAATTTTGCTTTCCTCATCTCCCCTACTAACTCGTTTTCCTTTCCGTTAATGCCTCTTATATTCCATGTTCCATAAATCGTAGTCCGTAAGCCATGCCAGTTCGTCGCCGTTAAGATCCGTCCAGTTTTCTCTCTGTAGTTACTTGTAATCGTGGTTTAAGGCAAACAGGTGATTGGCCTGTTGTGCCTTTGCATGGTGGAGGGGCTGCCTCCTTGCGGCCTCCATGCAGGCCGTCTGGCTGATTCACGGTTACCCACTACTTCCGGAGACGCATGAAGCACTCAGGTTCAGCCAGACCCTCCTCCTTTTACAGCCGGGCTTGGGACCGGTCTTAGCGGAGTTGTGTGTCGCTATTGCTGGATGAAAACAAACAGAAACTATCCTGTGCATTTCTGATCATACAGTGCATTATAGCTTCAAGTGCCACTTGTATGTACTCGTATGAAATGCATGTGTTATGCATTTGATTGCTACTTCATATGTGTAGTAGTTATTTAGTATTTGTGGGTGTGCTGTAGTCTCACATATAGTACTGCAAAGGGTGGCAGCTTGTAGATGTTGATGTAACTTGTAGATGATATGTTATAAATTAGAGTGCTACTGGTATTCTACTGGTCTTATATTTTTTGTGGTGTTTCTTATAGACATTGTCATTTATTTCATTATACAGTGGGTTATTTCTTATAGACTTAGTCAGATATAAATTTATAAAGTGGAGTGTTTCTGATAGACTTAGTCAGATATAAATGTATATAGTGTGTGTTTCTTATAGACTTAGTTATATATTATACAGTGGAGTGTTTCTTATAGACTTAGTTATATATTATACAGTGGAGTGTTTCTTATAGACTTAGTTTTATATTATACAGTTGAGTGTTTCTTATAGACTTAGTTATATATTATACAGTGGAGTGTTTCTTATAGACTTAGTCAGATATTATATTTAACAGTGGGTCTTTCTGATAGACTTAGACATATATTATATTATTCAGTGGGTCTTTCTGATAGATTAGACATATATTATATTATACAGTGGGTCTTTGTGATAGAGTTAGACATATATTATATTATACAGTGGGTCTTTCTGATAGACTTAGACATATATTATATTATACAGTGGGTCTTTCTGATAGACTTAGACATATATTATACAGTGGGTGTTTCTTATAGACTTAGTCACATATTATACTATGCAGTAGAGTGTTTCTTATAGACTTAGTCAGATATAATATCATACAATGGGTGTTTCTTATAGATGTAGTCAGATATAATAATATATACACTGGGGTGTTTCTTATAGACTTAGTCAGATATATTAAACACTGGGGTGTTTCGTATAGACTCAGTCAGATATAATATACACTGAGGTGTTTCTTATAGATTTAGTCAGATATATTAAACACTGGGGTGTTTCTTATAGACTTAGTCAGATATAATATACACTGGGGTGTTTCTTATAGACTTAGTCAGATATAATATACACTGAGGTGTTTCTTATAGACTTAGTCAGATATATCATACACAGGGGTGTTTCTTATAGACATAGTCAGATATATTATACACTGGGGTGTTTCTTATAGATTTAATCAGATATATCATACACAGGGGTGTTTCTTTTAGACTTAGTCAGATATAATATACACTGGGGTGTTTCTTATAGACTTAGTCAGATATATTATACACAGGGGTGTTTCTTATAGATTTAGTCAGATATTTCATACACAGGGGTGTTTCTTATAGACATAGTCAGATATATTATACACTGGGGTGTTTCTTATAGATTTAGTCAGATATATCCTACACAGAGGTGTTTCTTATAGACTTAATCAGAAATAATATACACTGGGGTGTTTCTTATAGACTTAGTCAGATATAATATATACTGGGGTGTTTCTTATAGACTTAATCAAATATAATATTATACACTGGGTGTTTCTTATAGACTTAGATATAATATACACTAGGGTGTTTTTTTATAGACTTAGTCGGATATAATATACACTGGGGTGTTTTCTATAGACTTAATCAAATATAATATTATACACTGGGGTGTTTCTTATAGACTTAGTCAGATAAAATATTATATACTGGGGTGTTTCTTATAGACTTAATCAGATATAATATACACTGGGGTGTTTTTTATAGACATAGTCATTAATTTATGACGGGACATGAGCCATTAAATGTAGAGGGGGCACATCTGGAAGGGAATGAGAATGAAAGAAGAAATGATTGCAAAAAAGGATGACAACTGAGCGTCTGAAAAACACACTAAATACAAACGTTGATGGCAGCGGTCCTGAAGTCCCATGCTACAATTATAGAAGACTTTTTTTTAATGTGTGCAGGTCTTGCCAGTCACACTCGCCATGGGCTGTGAGTCCTATGCCTCCCCATAGCACAGTATAACAATATCGTCTGGAAAGACAGAAAGGTGCCAGGGAATGAATGGCTACTTGTAGACTGTTTGTCATGTATTATATATATATGTAGTGGGTGTTTTAATAAATTATTGGTCATATATTAAATTATAAATGCGAGTGCTACTTGTAGACTCTTATTCATATAATAAAAGGTCCGACAATTAAGTAATGAGACTAATTCCTTCAGAATTTAAAAAATCAACAGTTGAAGATATAACCTGTACCTTATTTAAAGTAAGCCAATTATGCATTGATACAGCAAGTGGCACAATCTAACAAACACTGGAACGACCTCTGTAGTTCCTCTGTTGTTATGGCCCTTAAAGTCGATGTTATGGTCCTCTGTATGTCATCAATATCATTAAAGAAGCTTCCTTTCAATCGTTACTTTATTTTTGGGATCAGAAAATAATCACAGGGAGACAAATCTGGAGAATAGGGTGGACGTCTGAGAACACACCCTTGTTTTTGAGCTCAAAATTCTTGTTTTGATTATGTCTCTTGATTACTCAGCCCACTGATGTTTTTGGTAAAAAACCAACAAGCAACTTTTTTCTTGCCAAAGTCTTGCACTAAAATGTTATGAATGGTCTCTATTAATGCCAGATTCATCTGCCAGCATCCTCACAGCAAAACAATTATCTTGTATCCGTTCTCAGACATTTGCACTGAGTTCATCATTATGAACTGAAATGTGGCATCCAGGTCTAGGTGCATTAGTAATCATTTCCACACCACTTTTGAATCGTGAATACCACCTGAAAATGTATGCACGAGATAAACAATTATCCCCTTAAACTTGTTGCATCAATTCAGCTGTTTCAATGGCGCCTTTCCTGAGTTTTAAAAAGAATTTAATGTTAGCTTTTAGCTATGTGCTGATTACATAACAATGTACCTCTGACTAGGTCAACAAAATGGCGGCTTGTTTGTTGTCATCTTATTGAGCGGCGATGAGAAGTTGCCAGACCATAGATAAATGTTGACACTTTAGATTCCATGCTTTGCTTCATAGATGGCATTTTTGTCTTGGCCATAATAAAATCAGTCTCATTACTTAATTGTCGGACCTTGTATATATTATATTATGAAGTATATTACACAGTGAGGTGCTACATTTAAACTGTTAGTCATGAATTATATTATTATACAGTGAAATGTTACTTGTAAACTGTGAGTCATATATAATAATGTATGGTGGTGTGTTGCTTGTAATTGGTGAGTCATATATTATACACTGGGGTGTTAAGTTGTAGACTGCTAGTCTTGAATATTACGCTCTGACTTTTTTTTTCATGTAGTCTAATGGTGGGTTACATATTGAGATTCTGCTTTGCAAACTTTTCATTATATAGAGGCTTAGATTTTGCAGTGCTATTTTTAAACTTGTAATTTAATTTTTATAACTGAATTCCCTGTGTGAGTTCCGGGGCCCTATTACAGGGGGAAAAAAAAAAGAATAGACCTACTGCCTACCCGAAAGCATGTCGTAAGAGTCGACTAATTGGGAGTTTCCTTCGAAGTCGGAGTGCATCTGCCTGAGAGGCAAGGAACCAGCAGTCTGCATACAAATTAGTCAGCTCTGTAAAACTGATGCACACGCAACACTCAGGCTCTGGAACAGGACTGCAGTCCAAAAGTGGATGAACAACCAGAACTTTCTGCTGGTGAATGCAAAGAAGAAGAAGAATACCTAAATAGGAGTGCAACTTATACACTTTTAGTTATATAATGTGTTGTTGTACACTAAGATTTCATGCGGCACCAGGACTTTAGCTGGTACTCATTTGAGGCTGGGTTGATCTGAGAGCCAAGCTCATGTCTGAAAGAAAAAAAAGTCCAGTTTGGATTTGAACTCACAACCTTTAGATCTACAAGCAAGCATTTAGCTGCTACACCGTGACATTTGATCTTGTTTATGATACTGCTAGCTAAATTCATGCCATTGTAAGATTTATCTCTAAATTAATTAATTATTTATTTTTTGTATTTTGCTGGTATAAACAAATGTGTTATTTTGCACACAATTCTGTTTGTTTGCCTTTTGGAAACTTATATTTTGACCGAGGTTCTAAAATATTTATTTTTCTGTTACCGCAGGCAGAGGATCAGCCGAATGCGATCTCAGACAAGAAACGGGCTCAGTCCAGTGATTCGGCAACAGCAGGTAATAAATCACACTAGCCAGGCTTTACAGCCAGCTACCCATTTAGTGTCTGTTAATAGCATGTCATGTCAGACTTCCTGTCAAAATGGACGCTAAGCAGGAGCACTGTTTGGAGCCGAGGCAATTTCTTTGCTTCTTTCGGACGGTGGCCGATGCATTTTTGCTCCATTTGTAGACTGGATATAGTTTCGTCGCCAAGCTTCTGAGTTAAATGCATGGTATGACACTGTGAGCTTCGGATTTCATTTAGAATGTTTTTTCTACTGTGACCAACATGGTGGTGTGAATTGTAGATTCAGAAAATGGTGCGGTTGCATGGTCAACTGCTGATCTGTTGGTGACTTCTGCTACCATCAATGATGAACTGCATTTCTAATGTCGGACTGTTTGTGTTAGCACTTCGGATGGCTACCGTATGCTTTAATGGGTGTGTATGCTAGATATGCTGAGACAGCAGTCTGTCAATCTTTCCACAAGGGACTGGGATAAACATTCTGAGTGTTTTTCGTTGGCACAGAAGCGGAGCAACTATGGGGTGACCTGTTTGCTATGAAGCTGAAACTAAGACTACCAGACCAGCATGTCATGTAAGAGCTATTTAAATCCTATCCTGATATATGGAAGTCAATCATAGACAGTTAGATTGGTGAAAAATTATTTGGAAGCAACGGAGATGTGGTTTTATAGAAGAGGGATGAGAATACCGTGGACATATACAGAAAAGAGTAATGAAAAGAACGGATTGCCCGCATCAAAAGGAGACAATCTACATTCTTTGGTCATGTGATGAGAAGGAGAAAACTGGGGTGCATCATGACGGGGGAAAAGAGGCAGAGTGAGACCAGGAGAGAAGTTGCTGGACATTTTGACATCATGGCCTGGAGGATCATCTTTGACAGAATTGATTCAAGTAACGAAAGGGAAGACTACGGATAAACACAACTGCCAGTCCACACGGCTTGGACTGTAAGAAGAAGTTGCCTGTCCTTTTCAGGACTTCTGGTTTTATGCTATTATCTAAAACAGTTACTAATAAACTACAAACATTCATTCTATTTTTTTTTTTTTTTTTGGGCCTGCAGAGAATAGATGAATTAAATGGTATGGTAGGATCATTAATGTAGAGCTTTAGGAGAAAACTGAACAAATTCCAGTGAAGAAAATACACTGGCATGAGATGGGACACATGTTGAACACATAACTTGAAGGGCTTCACACTGGAACCCACAGGGGCTAGAAAAAAAGGCAGAGAAAAAGACACATGAGAAAGGTTAAAAAGATGGAGAGGATATGAGATGGGTTGCGTATAATAGCAAAGGGTGGGATGACTTGGTGGAAGTTGGGAGCCTTTGCTCCTTTGGGGGATTGGTTTGGTTTGTACAAGGGATCAACATCATGGCACAAGGATAGTAACCCCTAAGTGCTCCGTTATACTTCTAATTCAAGCCTGACTCCAAAGATTTTTAACGCAGTGCACAAACTCTGTAGCACTGGCAAGGATCCTGAAATACTTTAGGTAGATTTGTAACTCAAGATTTTTCCCAGGCAGCGCTGTTAGGCTACTCTTTTCGATTTCCAGCAGCCAAGGGATTTTTTTTTTCACCTGCATAGCAATACAAATGGGCGTCCGATCTTACAGTTCAGACACCAGGGGAAATTTCTAGAAGTCCATGTGAAAAAATTCCATCCTGAACCCAGGACCTCCAGCACTCAAGGCGGATGTATGCTACGAGACCACTCAACCCCTTTGGGGGAGAAAGGGTGAAAGAAGAGGTTGCCATTGCTTTCTGAATAGTATAATGATCATATCAATTTCAAAACCAGCACAAAGCAGTCTGCTTCTAAATCACCTGCAGCTAACTATGAACCCTGGTATGTTGAGATTATGAAACTGCTCCCCCCAACCCCTAGGTTACAGGCGCAGATTATAATTGTTGTTCCCCTTGTGGGTTCCGGGACCCCATTGTGGGGATACAAGCATGCCGTAAGGGTCGACTGATTGGAGGGTTTCCTTCGAAGTTGAAGTGCATCAGCCTAAGTGGCAAGGAACCAACAGTCTATATAAAAATAAGTCAGATCTGTAAAACAGATGTGCAGACAACAGTGAGGGGTGAATGAATAACCAGAACTTTCTGCCAGAGATTCCAGCCGGTGAACACCAAGAAGATAGTGATTGTTTGTAACTAGGTAATTTTAGAGTAGGTACAGCTCCAGGATGTCGTAGGACTTCACTGGAGTAGCAGCTTTGGGATAGATAGCAGGATCTGCAGTATTCAGGAGGAGGGGCTGCCTCCTACTCGTTAGAGAATATTTCACATACATATTTTTTCCCCCCAACTGTATAAGGAGGAGAGAAAAGGACGAGACAGTCCCATGAATCCCCAGTCAGCTCAGATAGGAAGCGAGGACAGACAGACAACAGTAACCCATCCTCTGGCAAGAAGAAAAAGACAAAGACAGTTGATGTAGACCTCCCAGATGCTCCGAAAGATGGTAAGAGTTAACATTTGGCACCTCTTAGATTGTTTTAGTAGTTGAGTTGTGTTCAGAACCGACACTTCACAGCACTCGGGTCATTCCCATAAGCTCTTTGTACCCATCTTCAGTATCCAGCACAGTTGTAACATCTAGCTTGCCGTGCATCAGCTCACCACCAAGTGGTGCAGAACCGGCCAATCGGTTAATTTCCCACCACACCTGCATTCCCTGGAGAAAATGTCCAAGGGACGCTAACCATTTCGGGAACTCTGAAGCGGTGCTTGCCACTCTCCACACCTGTCTCTACACTTCTCATTGTATTAGTATCTCCATGTGGGTCCAACCATTAGGCCACACACACAAAAAAGTAGATGCAAAAACAAGCATGTCATAAAAGTCTGCTGATTAGGAATGCTTCCTTCAGATCCGAATGCATCTGCCCGAGAGGTGTGGAAATAACAGTCTGCAAAAAAAGAAGCCAGATCTGTAAAACGGATACACATGCAAAACTCCAAGTTCTGGAACAAGACCAAAGTCCAGACTGGATAAACAATCGTGACTCTCTGCCACATTTCACACCCATTGAACACTAAGATTCCCACCCATTGAACACTAAGATTCCCACCCATTGAACACTAAGATTCCCACCTATTGAACACTAAGATTCCCACCCATTGAACACTAAGATTCCCACCCATTGAACACTAAGATTCCCACCCATTGAACACTAAGATTCCCACCCATTGAACACTAAGATTCCCACCCATTGAACACTAAGATTCCCACCCATTGAACACTAAGATTCCCACCCATTGAACACTAAGATTCCCACCCATTGAACACTAAGATTCCCACCCATTGAACACTAAGATTCCCACCCATTGAACACTAAGATTCCCACCCATTGAACACTAAGATTCCCACCCATTGAACACTAAGATTCCCACCCATTGAACACTAAGATTCCCACCCATTGAACACTAAGATTCCCACCCATTGAACAATAAGATTCCCACCCATTGAACACTAAGATTCCCAACCATTGAACACTAAGATTCCCAACCATTGAACACTAAGATTCCCAACCATTGAACACTAAGATTCCCAACCATTGAACACTAAGATTCCCACCCATTGAACACTAAGATTCCCACCCATTAAACACTAAGATTCCCAACCATTGAACACTAAGATTCCCACCCATTGAACACTAAGATTCCCACCCATTAAACACTAAGATTCCCAACCATTAAACACTAAGATTCCCACCCATTAAACACTAAGATTCCCACCCATTGAACACTAAGATTCCCACCCATTGAACACTAAGATTCCCACCCATTGAACACTAAGATTCCCAACCATTGAACACTAAGATTCCCACCCATTGAACACTAAGATTCCCACCCATTCAACACTAAGAAGAAAGTCCTCCTACATGAATCACTGTGAGCAGTGAGACTGCAGTGTCCCACGAAACTAACCGAGAAGGCTAACCCGGTCAACCAATGCCCGCAGAAGTCAGATGTGTTGGCTGAGAGGCGCAAATATCGTAGCCATGCTGTAAACAGACACAGTTCAGTTACATCTTCGGATGAGCGCAGAAGAAGAAGTGTCAGCGAGGATCCTGAAGACTGCAAACCAACAGAAAATCACTTCATTTTGGTTTTTAAAAAAAAAAAATTTGTTGTGGTAAATGACAGTGGTCATGCTGCCATCTTGCCGTCTTCATGGCTCATGAATTAAGGAATCAAGAATTGACACCGTTGCACTTTGGACATTTCTATACGTGCTGTCCCCCTTCTTCAGTAGCCAGAGTTCCCCCATGGTAGTGCCATTTGCCACCTGCTTGAAAAGTACACCTGTCTTTTACCCTGCATGTTGAATGAGGTCATCAAAAGTAGCAATGAGAATAGATAGGTCTGTTGTGATATTTAGGCTTCGGTGTGAGGATCTTAGAACGACTGAAAAACAGTGAGTGGTTAGTGATATTTAGGCTTCCGTGTGAGGACCTTAGCATGACTGATAAACAGTAAGTGGTTAGTGATATTTAGGCTTTGATGTGAGGGCCTCAGCACGACTGATAAACAGTGAGTGGTTAGTGATATTTAGGCGTCCGTGTGAGGACCTTAGCACGACCGATAAACAGTGAGTGGTTAGTGATATTTAGGCTTCGATGTGAGGGCCTCAGCACGACTGATAAACAGTGAGTGGTTAGTGATATTTAGGCTTCGATGTCAGGGCCTCAGCACGACTGATAAAGAGTCAGTGGTTAGTGATATTTAGGCTTCGATGTCAGGGCCTCAGCACGACTGATAAAGAGTTAGTGGTTAGTGATATTTAGGCTTCGATGTGAGGGCCTCAGCACGACTGATAAACAGTGAGTGGTTAGTGATATTTAGGCTTCGATGTGAGGGCCTCAGCACGACTGATAAAGAGTCAGTGGTTAAAGGCAGCAGATAAGATGTGTTGAGGGTAGGCTAGAAGAAATCCAGCATTTTTAGTTGCTAGTAGCAAATGTTCATGTCACAAATCTTGCCCGAATCTCACAAAAATTGAAACTTATACAATTTTTTTCTTATCTCAGAAATACACCCACTTCTCAATGTGAAGAAGACCCAGGAAAAGTCCCACTCCAAGAAGGCCAGACCTCAGAAATCAAAGTCATCGAAACCAGAGAAGTCCAGACACAAAGATCGCAGCTCAAGGACAGATGATATGAACAACGAAAATAGCAGTAGGTCTTCTTCTTCATTCATCCGAGTGGTGTAAATGCGTTTGTCTTATTCTTCGTATTCACCAGGTGTCGACTCTGGCAGAAAATTCTGGTTCTTTATCCACCTTTCCCCTGAGTGTCGAGCGTCAGACATATCCCCTTGCAACTCCTGGCAGTGTCATTCTCCTCAGACCGTAATGATCTGTCTGTTCTTCAACACTGTTCACTCGCTCCCAAAGGTCCCTCAAAGCATCCAACTTGTCATACATCAGTTCACCACCAAGTGATGCAGAACCGGCCAGTCTATCTCCCTTCTCAATTTCCCAACACATCCAAATGACCTGGAGAAAATATTCAAAGGATGCTAATTACCCGGGACCTCTGAAGTGATGTTTTTAGAGGAAGCCCCCACTTAGTCGACTTCTGTGACATACTTGTTGGGGAGGCAGAGAATCTATTCTTATTTTCCCCACAAGTGCACTCCTCGCCCCACACTGGGAGGTTGTGTGTGTGTTCACCGCATAACTGCAATATTTACACCTTTCCTGTTAGTTTTGTGGAACATTTGTAGCCTCACGTGTGGTGAAAAATAACAGATGTTGCCCCTAGAGGATTGTTCAGATCAGTCCCAGGCAAACCGGTCGACCCTCAAGGGAAGACAGAGGCAGAGCATGAGCACTGATGTCATTCGGGAAGGCTTCCATAAATGCAGAGCCACTGCATCAAACTGTTCTGGTACTGGGCTCGTCCAAGGAATCATCACGTCCTACTGCTTAACCTCACAACTGTATATTGAGCCTTCCTGTTGGGATCTCCAGAAAGCAGTCTGCAGAACTGAGACTGAGACTCCCTGAAAAAATGGGTTTCTCACTCCCTCAGCAAGACAGCGGTCTTGTTGCGGCTCCGGAACCCACTTGTGAATTATTCAGTAAATTGATCTGTTACTTTTGTTAATTTTGTTTTTTGTGTAACGTCTGCTTGATCTGTAATTGATGTCTAAATATATGTGTCTTGTAACTTATCTGTAGTCTGACTTTTGATACTATATTTGCTAAATCATCTGTTTTTCTTGTCAAATCAAAAAAACCTTCTCCTCGAAGAGCTATTTATGCGACTTAACAACCATCAGCATTTACGAAAACACACAAATTAATCAACGAAAATAGTAAATAAAGAATAACTACATTGGTAGGGTAAAAGATATCCCAGTATTGATGCAAAAGAGTACATTATTATGTATTTTTGTGTTTTATTTATAATTGTTGCAACCCATTTGAATGAAAATATTGTTGAAAAATATAAAATTAGTTTACGATCAGTTTGACTTGTGACCCTTTAGAGTGGAAGAAAGGAAAGGGAAGGAGAAGCTGTACTGTCAATAATGTGCTTATGTTTCCCATCATACAGATGCTGGAAGCTGATTGGAGAATGTCAAGGCAGTAACTGCAGACTATCAGCTTAATCACCTCACTATGAGATCTGTAAGATGGTGACTTACCATGTAGACTATTCACTTCAGGCTAATAAATGGGAGACCGCTAAAAAAAAACCAGCGACATATTATTGCGAACTTCATGACTCATGGAAAATGTGAAGGCAGCAACTGCAGATTATCAACTTAAGTCACCTCACTCTGAAATCTGTAAGATAGCGACTTTACCATGTAGACTACTCACTTCAGGCTACAGAATGAGAGACATTTGAGAACAAAGTGAAATATTAATGTGAACTTATGACTCCTGGAGACTGAAGACAGCAACAGCCGATTATCAGCTTCATCACCTCGCTTGTGGATCTTCTTCTTCTTGGTCTTCACAGACTGGATTGTCATCTACCGGATATTACTTTAGATCAGTGTTTCCCAAACTTGTCTTTGTGGCGGCGCCCTTTTTCAGTTAAAAATGTTCCTAACCTAAGTAAAAGTATGACTATTCTATTCTCATGTAAGAGATTAAATAAAATTCAACTCATGTATCTTCGTATATTTCATGGCGCCCTAACCTAAGTAAAAGTATGACTATTCTATTCGTATGTAAGAGATTAAATAAATTTTAACTCATGTATCTTGGTATATTTCATGGCGCCCATGTGAAGAGGTTGCAGCTCACAGGCGCACAGTTTGGGATTCACTGCTTTAGATTATTATATATGATTTAATTTTTTGAGCACATAGTGCAACCACAACATTACTGCTTTTTCCTGTCGAAAGCTCAAATATATAGTTGTACTTCGGGGTGATGTAAAACTGTTGATTAAAGAAAATTTGTGAACATTCAAGAATTATCAGTTACTGGTATTTTAAGCGAACTGTCTAAAAAGTGTAACGATTGAGAGTTGTAGATATTTTTTTTGAAAGAAAGAGACATTGCAAGCATCTCCCATGGAAAGTTCTGGTTGTTCGCCAACTTCTGGACTTTAGACTTGTTCCAGAATGTGACGTTTATGTGCACATCCATTTTACATATCTTAATTTTATGTATGCAGACTGTTGGTTCCTTGTCTCTCAGGCAGACGCACTCCGACTTTGAAGAAAACGCCCCTAATTAGTCGCCTCCTCATGAAATGCTTGTTAAGGTGGCAGTGGGTCTTCTCTGTTCTTCATATTGATTCATGGACCTACCAACACAGTGACTTATCATGTAGACCAGTATTTCTGATTTGGGGGGGGGGGGGGGGGGGGGGGGAAGCAAGCATAAGAAACAAAAATGGAATATATCCATGAGATCATTTACCAAATACCCCAGCTTTCTTTTTGTGCTTCTGAAATTTTATAAGTTTTTCGGTCGTCGTCATCCTCATGTAGCAGGTCCTTTACAGAACTTCTCCCTCATCACGGCCTGCCTGAAATAAACTTGGTCCCTCGCCAGCTCTCCCGCCTTGTGTACTTTAATATTCAAGGAGGCACTTATATCTTGCGCCCATCTTCGTGTCGGTCAGCACTAGGCCCTCCTTCCAAGAATGACAATGGCTTTTGTCTTTCCATGTTAACGTAGAAGCTCTTTAATGTCATCAGCCCATATTCTTCTAGGTCGACCTCTTGCTTCCATATCAGATCTTTTTGTGTGTGGCACCTGCATTGGTAGTTGTTCTGGCTGCATTCTGACTAGATTTCTAAACCATTTGATCTTATGTTTTTCAGTGACTTTTCTAGATGGTGTTGTTCTTACAGTCTGATACAATTTCTAACTTTGTCTCTTATGGTTAAATTAGAGGCTTTTCTCAGGCATCTCATTTCTGAGGTGTTAATTTTATGTAGGTTAGCCTTTGATAATGTCCAATGCTGGCCCTGATAGCACAGTGTTGGTACAAACATGCTGTTTATAATCTGGTTTTTTTTTTGGGTGTCTATACTGTTTGGAGATCTTAATAATGGTGTCGGTTGATATATAAGTGCACTGGCTCGTGGCATCTTGTTTCTGTTTCCTGATTTATTCACCCATCCCCCAAGAATATACTTTCTAAATATTTAAATTCTTAAACTTGCTTCAGACAAGTACTAATCCGCTCTTTATGTTGTGGACCAGGAATTGAGAGCAGTGATATGTAAATTTCATGGCTCCTGGTGGATACAAGGTGGGACTAACTGCTACTGAACAAGACACACATATGGCAGCTGTAATATACTCTGTATTATCATCATCATGTTGTGCCATTTATATATTACGTAAATTTCGTCTTCCATTCTTTTCCTTCTAAACTCTGGCAGAATGTTGTGGTTGTTCATCCACTTTGGACTTCGTCTTGTTCCAGTATTTGAGTTTCACGTGCACGTTTTTACAGATCTGAATTATTTGTAAGGTCGGCTCTGTGGCTAAGTCGATGAGACGCTTCGTAATGCCGGGTTCGATCCCAGTTGCGGGCCATGCGCCTTGCGTTGGTTTCGACAGTGGTATCCAGAAAGCTGACCGTCCAAAAAGCAATGGCAAACTTACTAGATGTAAATTTGCTTGTTTTTTTTTTTTTTTTTAAACACACAACAGCCAGGTGCTGTTGGGGTTGGTTCTGCAACGTCCTGTAAAGGATACGCAACTTACCACATTATTTGTTAGCAGGCTGTTGGTTACTCGCCTCTCAGGCTTTGAAGGAAACAGCCCTGATTAGTGAACTCTTAGGCCATGCTTGTTAGGGGGTTTGTTCTTGGTTTCCCCCCCCCCCCACAATATGGCCACCATAGCCCATGTGGAGTGTTATAGTCTAGTATACAGGCTTGCCGTTATTGCATGTACCAGTTTAGGTCAATGATAAAGGGATCGCTGGCTCCCAGAATCAGAACTAGACTGTATAACCCTAACCACAGTCTCAGAAGAAAGCTGCACATTATGTTCCAGTATATTTGCTATGCCTGAATTCAAGAAATAAAAATATGCGGACCACCATTAATGTCAACAGTTAAACAAAAAAAGTTGATGCTAAGCTTACGAGAGTGTCCCGAGTGCTATGATGACGATTCTTAATTCAGCATTCAGTTGGTGCAAAATTCTGGCATACCCTGAGAAGTGAACAGAGAATTATCAGCCCACTGCTAAAAAGGGGACAGGGGGAAGGATGGATTGAGGGAAACAAAACCGCCATGAAAAATATCTAAAATAAACTATGGGATAGTGGATTTTTCGCAAGAAGAGAACCGATTTTGGGAATAGACTGCTGCTAGCCCTATGTGATGTATTATGGCACAACAGGATGTTGATGATTAGTTTATTGGTATATTTAATGATTTTGTTTATCAACACTTGCCTAAGTAGTGTACATTGCTCTTTGTTGTATTATAGAATCAATGCAACCATGTTTTTGTTACATTAACACATAAAAACTACAATAAGTGGCTTGTAATTAAAGATTTAAATAAAATCTAACAAGCATTATTTGTTCTGTATTGTTTTTTAAAAAAAAAATCATTTCATGAGGGTTTAATTATTTCAGTTTAAGGATAACTCTCTTTCAACTCTTGTGAGAAAGCGTGTACAGTTTGGGGGAGCAAATAGGTCACCAGTCTGCAGGGGAGGGGGGGGGGGGGGGGGGGGGGGTTATGAGAGGTTCTGATAGATGCTTGAGGCTCAAGAGGAAAGTCAAGATGGATGTTCAATCACCAACTCTTCACTGGCTGACGAAGATGGGGACGGAGCGCTTATGGGAATGCCCCAAGTGCTGTGATGTCGGTTCTTAAATCAAATCAAATCAAGACCATATGAAATAGAAGGGTGTATTTTTATAGAGAAGAAGGCGGCTGTCAACACATTTGATGGGCTATATGGTCAGCACCACGCCTTCCCTTCCCCTGTACCATATTTAGGCTGAGTGGAGGGAATTAGTCTAATTGTGGATTTAATCTAAAAGAACTTCAGGCTGGTAGATGAGTTCAAACACAGGGATTCCTTTTATATGTCTGTACATGTGTCTACAGACAATAAAATACTTTGGTTATGGCTAAACTGACAAAACTCCATCACGGCTGTACAGGTTGGGATCCTTCTATATTAAAAAAAAAAAAAAAAAAAATGTCATAAAAGTCTTCTTGTCTTTCTAATCCCCAGTGGAGCATAGGCCCCCAACCAACTCATGCCAAGTTGTTCTATCCTTCACTACTGCAAGCAGCTCTGCCCATCTTTTTAACTTCACTCTTTAGCTCCTTTCTTCGTGTTTTTTAGGTCTTCCTTTATTTCTATGCCACTGTGGGTTTTAGTGCAAAGACATTCTAGTTATAAAACAATAAGTGAGACCTTTGTATTAATCAGGTCCCTGTGTGGGTTCCCGTGCCCAATTTTAGGGGGAAATAGACACATTGCCACCATAACAAGCATGTCATAAAAGTCTACGGATTAGAGGCATTTCCTTCAAAGTCGGACTGCATAATCCTCAAGGCGATGAATAAGCAGTCTGCACACAAATAAGCCCAACCTGTAAAATGGATGCGCAAGCAGAAGAATATGAAGAACCAGAATAGTCCATGAGTTTACAGTGGATCATGCTTACAAACATATTTTTTTCTTCTCTTTTTAACCAATAAAAAACATTCACAGACCTATTCAACCGCAAACATTGAACCTGTGTAGGAAAATTTAATAAGAAAGAACAAATGTCACAACAACAAAATGTCATGAAAGAGAACAATAAATGTGAACAAACTGCTGTGAAAATAACATGAGCAGACGAGGAAAACTTGCATAGTTTTATAAACAGCAGGTCTTTCATGTTTATTGTTAATACTCAATCCTTTAGAATTTGAGAAGTCGCACATTATCCACAGAAATATTTGTAATGCCTGTAGTCCCAAGTGCGGTAGTTAAGTTCCATAAGACAAATGGTAAGTATATTGATAAAGTGACAGGACTGTGCATACATTGCATGGAGTAAAGTGACTGTTTATGCTAAGTCACACTTTACAAAAGTCATGAACCTCCCAGTCACAGTATACTTTAGATCCTTGTGATAAAATGTAAATATCGTCACAGGGGTAAAGTGATAGGACAGTGTGTTGCCTGGAGCAAAGTGACAAGATTATTTATGCTAAGCCACACTTTACAGAAGTCATGAGGCACCCACAATTAGTTTTAGATGCAGTCTCAATCACAGTAATACTTAAGTTCCTTGTGATAAAATGTAAATATCATCACAGGGGTAAAGTGACGAGACTGTGTGTGTTGCCTAGAGCAAAGTGACAAGATTATTTATGCTAAATCACACCTTAACAGAAGTCCCGTACCACCCATCACTCATAAAAAGCTTTAGACAAATAGTCTCAATTACTGTACACTTAAGTTCCAGAAGATAAAAGGTACATGTCACAGGAGTAAAGGACAAGACTGTATGAGTGCCAAGTGACAAGGAAAAAGTGACAAGCCTGTATGTATGCCAAGTGACAAGGCAAAAGTGACAAGCCTGTATGTATGCCAAGTGACATGACTGTGTATGAGTAACACATGAACACAATACAGAAGTCACATACCACCCACACACACAACAAGGTCTGGAGACCTGCAGTCTCATTCGCAATACACTTCAGTTCGATGGAATAAATTCGTAGTGTGGCAATGTAGCAGAACTTTATATATGTTAAGCTACGTATGAGGTAAAGAGACCAGCTTCCTTTATGATTCTTAGTTATGTTTGATACCATTGGTTCGATAGCAATACAGTTTGTTTCTTGGGAATAATTCTTAATTAAATGTTGGACCATGACAGCTAAACTGGTAGGTTAGAATATCCATTACGCCAGTGTTTCTCAACTATCTTTCAAGGTACACCAGATATTTAAAACTATTAACAACAGCTTTTGTTGGAAATCATTGCAGTACGGTTACAATTATGTTTCCAACACACACAAAAATACAGTTTGACTGCAATACGTAAGTTTTTTTTTAAAGAGAATCCTTAATCAAGAGCTAAACTGGTAGGTCACACTATCTATTACACTAGTATTTCTCGATCACTTTTAGGGGTACGCAAGATTTTTTAAAATTATAACAATAGTTTTAGTTGGGAACCATTGAAATACAGTGGCTAGACATTTAGAAGTCTTCATATTTTTTTTTAAATAACTGACCTTTTTTGGTTTGGCTCTCAGATCAACCTAATTCAAAATGGAAAGTAAGGCAGGAGGCATGTTTTTCATCACTCACCGCACCAGACAAGGAATCTTACACCTCAAAGGCTGAGAATCACTGCACTAGACAAGGAATCTTACACCTCAAAGGCTGAGAATCACTGCACTAGACAAGGAATCTTACACCTCAAAGACTGAGAATCACTGTATTACACTCAAGTCTTCATCAGCTTGATTACAGATTTTAGAACACATCTATAAACTCAAGAAAACTTTTTCAGTATGGCTTCATGGACTATCTTTCTTTCTTTCTGCATTAATGTTAAGACCATAACAAGTGCAACTCAAAACTAAATCGACCACAAAGATATTCTTATCTTTCCATGATTCAGTTATGTACAGGGCACCATGGCAGAGCAGTGGCCAGGTGCTGGTCTAAAGGTTCGAATCCACATCAAGTCAGATATTTCATAACCGACCTTGGCTCCCAGGCCAACACAACCCCAGAATGGATAACAGGAAATGTGATAGGAAGTAAAGATGACCAGTGAGCCGCTGACCCCATCAAGTACCAACTGGCGTATAAAACCAAGGGTCTAGCGCCCTAAGCCACTGCCGTGAAAAGGCTCTTGAGCTTATTTTAATTATATTCTCTGTGTGACTTCTGGGGCCTCACCGTGGCAGAGAAAAGTCAAGACCCCGCCCGAACATGTAAAAAAAAAAGGCGACTAATTAGGGGTGTTTTCTTCATAAAAGTTGGTATGCTTGAGAGGCAAGGAACAAATAGTTTGAATACAAAAAAGCCAAATCTGTAAAACAGATATGCACACAAAACAAAGTTCTGGAACAAGACTAAAAGTGGCCGAACAACCAGAACCTTCCGCTGAAGTTAACATCTGTACGGTTTTATTTGGTCTTACTTGTAACACCTGCAACTGACATAAACTAACTTTGACACTGTAGAAGTACACCCGCTCTATAACTGGGCAAAGCAGATAATGTGGGGGGGAAAAAATCAATACTTTCAATCTATATAGTCAATATTTTATTAACAGCCAGCTTACAGCCCTAGCCATTCTGTCTAAATTAAGAGATGTTTCAGCTCCAGAACTTGCCTCCCTCATCACAAAAGCCTGTGTGTTGTTGCTTTTATTTCCAGAGGTGCTGAGTTCAGCTTCTGTGCTTTGTTTTTCCTTTACCAACAGAAGGCGACTGGTCCCGCTGTCCTTTGTTGAATAAACTCCTCTTCTTCTTCTTACCCGGGGTGTTCACCAAGCTGCCAGGTGCTAAAAGAAGGGAAATCGGAACATGTTAGAAGACAGAATGACTAGCCTAATGAGTGTATGATGAAAGAAAGAATATAAATTAACGTGAGGTACCGTACTTCGTCGGAGGTTTTAAAAAAAAATGACTTTGGTCACCAGCTCGACCCAGCCTTGAGTGTCCACATCACCCACCAAGTGCAGGCTGGTCTATAAAATACAGGTCTAGCCCTATATACCCAATACACCTGAAAGGACAGTCCTCCTTTTTTTTAACTATACTTTTACTATGGTATACCTTAACCTGTATGTGTTTGGTAGGGCACGCATTTGACAACAAATGAGAGGAGACCAGACTTTAGCCTGCTGGTCCGAAGGTCTTAAGTTTGAGTCTGCATCAATGTGGATTTTTTTAAATAAGGGAATAGCTCATGAGCTGAATGGGTCTAAATGGGAAACTGGAAATGACCTGGGAAATCAATGCAACTGACTTGATGCTGATCACATAACACATGGAGCATAGACTGGTCTGTACAAAGGTGAGTCAAGCGCCAGATGTTTTGAGAGCTGCAGTAGGTTTCAATCCACAATACGGCAAAGTTTATAAATGTAGCAGGGTTCAAATCCACAATGAGAAAAAATTTATAAATGTAGCAGGGTTCAAATCCACAATGAGAAAAAATTTATAAATGTAGCAGGGTTCAAATCCACAATGAGAACAAATTTATAAATGTAGCAGGGTTCAAATCCACAATGAGGCAGAATATATAACCTGACCTTGGCTCTTGGGACCAGTCAGCCCAAATATGGTACAGGGGAAGGGAAGGCCTGGTGCTGACCATAGAGCCCATCAAATGAGTTGACAGCCGCCGCCGCCTTCTCTATAAAAATAAACCCTTCTATTTCATATGGTCTTGATCCCCCGTGTGGGTTCCGGGGCCCCATTGTGGGGGAAAACAAGAATAGACCCACTGCCTACCAAAAGCATGTCGTAAGAGTCGACTTACTGGGGAGCTTCTGCCAGAGAGGCAAGGAACCAACAGTATGTATTAAAGAGAATGAAATCTGTAAAACTGATGCACACGCAACACTCAGGTTCTGGAGCAGGACTGCAGTTCAGTAGTGGACGAGCAACCAGAACCTTCCGCCAGAGTGTACAGCTGGGGAACGCGAAGAAGAAGATATGGTCTTGATTTGATAACCGACATCACAGCACTCGGGGCATTGCCTTAAGCGCTCCGTCCCCATCTTCAGCAGCCAGCGAAGAGTTCCGATACTAATGGTGCCAGTAGCATTCTGATTAAACATTCGTCTTGCCTTTCCTGAGCCTCGAGCATCTGCCAGAACCTCTCGTCACCCCCAACTGCATCAATCTCACCAGACTGTGGTGATCCATCTGTTCTTCTGAATTGTATAAGCTCTCCCACAAGGCACTAACCAAGTCTGCCTTATCATATATCAGTATTCCACCAAGTTGTGCAGAGCCAGCCAGTCTGTCCGCCTGTTCCAGAGAATACTCCTCACTCGTGTCCTCCACAGCGAAGCATGCCCAGTCTGTACGAAGCATGCCCAGTCTGTACGAAGCATGCCTAGTCTGTACGAAGCATGCCCAGTCTGTACGAGGCATGCCCAGTCTGTACGAAGCATACCTGATCTGATCTTCCTCAGTCATATGGTCTTGGACCCATATACCATATACTCTAACCACATGAAAAACATCCTTTTTTACCATATACCGATGCACAGACGTATGGCGAGAAAAATCCATTGACTTTTTCTTGGGGTACCATATGCCGGTAAATTATTCAGTTAATCACAGTTTTACCTTCACAGTAATCAGCCCAACCCAATTTGGAGTGGAGTGCCTTTTATTGGTGCAGCGGCTGAGTCACAGCATTCAATATGGCTGGCAGCCAGTTTACGTGTGAGCTGGTGAAAAACCTTATGTAATAATTCCACATGAGTATAGCCCCTTCCACGACTGCAACCTGGAGGATTTAACACTTCAAGAATGAGAATCAAACAGGTACAAATCTAAGAAATCCCGACCAACCGCACAAAACAGTAACATATCCTTTAGTCCCGTCTAGGCTGGGAATAAGGACAAAAACTTATGTAGTGGCTATATGATTCCTGCGAAGCAAGTGCGGTGTCGTACGTGCAAATTTTGTTCCCGTGTTTATTAGCTGCCAGGTAGGCCGCGAAACAAAGCCCTTCTGGTTCTGGTGGGCCACGGTTGTTACAAAAAAAAGTCTAAGAATACCGGTACAGACATTTTTTCAACAAAAAAAACAAACTACATAAAAGTATCTGAGAGCATGAAACTGCTAACCTGATAACCTCCTACGATAAGCAGCACCTTTTTTAGAAGAAAGTTGGGATGTTTCTGAAGAGGATGGCGTCAATGCAGGAGAAATGACTGGAGACTTGAGGATGCCCACCACTGGGCTCTTGGTTGGTTCAAATGGGGCCTCTGGCTGCTTGGCAAGGCTCTTCAAATAGTCCTGAAATTCTAGTTTATGAAAAATAATGGCAATTAAAGTCAGAACCATTTTTATCAGCTCAGTCAGAGTCTTCTTCTTCTGTGCCCATCAGTATTAAAACCAATCAATTAGCTGTAGTCTCTGTAATGAAGACTGCAGGAAACAGATCTCCAATCTGCCCATTCATCTTTGAAGTAATCCTTCCGCTTTTTTTCAGTGTATACCGTTTACTTTCATGGCCCTTCCAGTATGCTTTTTACAAGAGTGTTATACATTTAGCTTATCTCTTATTTCTGTGGGATATTTGGCTTAAGCGTTGCGAATGCACGTCAAAATGCCTGGGTGCCCGGGTTATATCCAAGCTGCGCGGGCTGGTTGTCTTGCATTGGTTTCCGAAAGCTGACGAATCAGAAAGCAACGGCAAACTACTGAAAGTAAAAATTTGCCTAGGAAAGCCTCAAAAGCCAAAACATGCTTTCAAATTGTCTTCAGCTAGCCACAAACGGGACAGTGTGTCCAAGGCAAGGGTGGTAGCTCTTTTTTTTGGTTCAGTGGTCAAATTTAGAATCACCAAGCTGCTTGCAGATCACAAAGTAAACAAATCCATTAGGCATCTAACACCCCGATTTCCTTTAACATTTTTTATTCCGGAACTTACTTGAATAATGCGCCTTCTATATTCCTAAATGTGTCTGTTCAAGCTAGTTATTAAACACTCAGGTTTATTGTTATACAGAAAAACGAAATATGTCTGTAGTTTATCTTTCCTGGAAATGATATTCTTTAGCCACTTTCCATTTTTTACTTGACGTTGATATTGTGTTACCAACTTTCAATGTCTTCATTTGTGTGCTACAGGAAGGGTAGGTTGCTTGCTGTGTGTATGTTTATGTACTATTCATGTCCAATGCCACGGTCCCCTCGTTGGACAAACTCATGCCAAAAAAAAAGGTTACTGCATTCTTTTGATCTAAACTTGCTAATCAGAGAAAAAGTTTGAGTCTGTCCACAAGTCATGTTTTAGGAATATAAAGATAGATCTGGCGACATCAGTTTCTGACTATCACATTTTCGGATATTGATATGTTGATTTTTCTGGTCTTTTTGCTATAAATGTTTATTTTTTTGTTCCACTATTTTGTGTTTCGTTACTTTGTGAAATAAGGACCGAATTATATAACATTTTACACCTCTCACGTGCCAGTAAGAAAATGCTCGCCAGACCAGTTTTAGCTTGTGGTCTATAGTTTGCCCACCCCTGGGCAGCGATCGTCATCAATACCCCCCCCCCCCCCAGTTACTCCAGTCATGTTGCTCTGTTTGGCGAGATCCCTAACTTTTGTTTAATGTAGTTAGGATACATGCTCAAGAGTCTGTCTGTCTAACATTCACACATGACATATTCTGTGATTCCTTTTTTTTTGTTTGTGTGTTTATAACCACTGTGTCCTGTCTGAGGTCTAAAAATTACTGTCAGTTCTTTTCTGTTAAGTCTGCTTATACTCATTTTTACTGAGAAATAACTTCTGATTAAGTTAAAACTAACTGTGGAATCATATGTCTTTGTTAGGTTCAAACTAACTGTGGAATCATGTCTTTGTTAGGTTCAAACTAACTGTGGAATCATGTCTTTGTTAAGTTCAAACTAACTGTGGAATCATGTCTTTGTTAGGTTCAAACTAACTGTAGAATCATATGTCTTTGTTAGGTTCAAACTAACTGTAGAATCATGTCTTTGTTAGGTTCAAACTAACTGTGGAATCATGTCTTTGTTAAGTTCAAACTAACTGTGGAATCATGTCTTTGTTAGGTTCAAACTAACTGTGGAATCATGTCTTTGTTAAGTTCAAACTAACTGTGGAATCATATGTCTTTGTTAGGTTCAAACTAACTGTGGAATCATATGTCTTTGTTAGGTTCAAACTAACTGTGGAATCATGTCTTTGTTAGGTTCAAACTAACTGTGGAATCATGTCTTTGTTAAGTTCAAACTAACTGTGGAATCACGTCTTTGTTAGGTTCAAACTAACTGTGGAATCATGTCTTTGTTAGGTTCAAACTAACTGTGGAATCATGTCTTTGTTAAGTTCAAACTAACTGTGGAATCACGTCTTTGTTAGGTTCAAACTAACTGTGGAATCACGTCTTTGTTAGGTTCAAACTAACTGTGGAATCACGTCTTTGTTAGGTTCAAACTAACTGTGGAATCACGTCTTTGTTAGGTTCAAACTAACTGTGGAATCACGTCTTTGTTAGGTTCAAACTAACTGTAGAATCATATGTCTTTGTTAGGTTCAAACTAACTGTGGAATCATGTCTTTGTTAGGTTCAAACTAACTGTGGAATCATGTCTTTGTTAGGTTCAAACTAACTGTGGAATCACGTCTTTGTTAGGTTCAAACTAACTGTAGAATCATATGTCTTTGTTAGGTTCAAACTAACTGTAGAATCATATGTCTTTGTTAGGTTCAAACTAACTGTGGAATCATATGTCTTTGTTAGGTTCAAACTAACTGTGGAATCATGTCTTTGTTAGGTTCAAACTAACTGTGGAATCATGTCTTTGTTAAGTTCAAACTAACTGTGGAATCACGTCTTTGTTAGGTTCAAACTAACTGTAGAATCATATGTCTTTGTTAGGTTCAAACTAACTGTGGAATCACGTCTTTGTTAGGTTCAAACTAACTGTGGAATCACGTCTTTGTTAGGTTCAAACTAACTGTGGAATCACGTCTTTGTTAGGTTCAAACTAACTGTAGAATCATATGTCTTTGTTAGGTTCAAACTAACTGTGGAATCATATGTCTTTGTTAGGTTCAAACTAACTGTGGAATCATGTCTTTGTTAGGTTCAAACTAACTGTGGAATCATGTCTTTGTTAGGTTCAAACTAACTGTGGAATCATGTCTTTGTTAGGTTCAAACTAACTGTGGAATCATGTCTTTGTTAGGTTCAAACTAACTGTGGAATCACGTCTTTGTTAGGTTCAAACTAACTGTAGAATCATATGTCTTTGTTAGGTTCAAACTAACTGTAGAATCATATGTCTTTGTTAGGTTCAAACTAACTGTAGAATCATATGTCTTTGTTAGGTTCAAACTAACTGTGGAATCACGTCTTTGTTAGGTTCAAACTAACTGTGGAATCACGTCTTTGTTAGGTTCAAACTAACTGTGGAATCACGTCTTTGTTAGGTTCAAACTAACTGTAGAATCATATGTCTTTGTTAGGTTCAAACTAACTGTGGAATCATGTCTTTGTTAGGTTCAAACTAACTGTGGAATCATGTCTTTGTTAGGTTCAAACTAACTGTAGAATCATATGTCTTTGTTAGGTTCAAACTAACTGTGGAATCATGTCTTTGTCAAATCTTCCCAGTATTTATTACTTCCCCAGGGAGACAGACTGGCTGGTTCTGCACCACTTGGTGGTGAACTGATGCATGACAAGTTAGACACAAGGGTCCTGTGGGAGCGAGTGGACAGTGCAGAAGCACAGATGGATCATCACGGTCTGAAGAGAACAGTGCTGCAAGGAATGACCAGGAGATCTGGTCGATGATCAGCGCTCACAGGAAAGGTGAGACAAACATGCAAATTACTGGTACCAGCGGGACTGAAACTCTGCTTGCTGCTGAAGATGGGGGCAGAGGGCTTAAGGAAATGTTACAAGTGCAGTGAATAGTGATGTTGATTCTGAATAGTGATGTTGATTCTTAATTAAAACAATAAACATTCCTCTCCCAACAGACAGAAAAACAAGAAGAAATCATCTAAGCTTACTGTTTGCTCTGTTCCTTCTTAGATCAAATATGACTTTCTTTTTGGCACTCAAAGTCATCCCTGAAGAGCCAGCCTGTAAACAAACAATTCAATCAATGATCATGCAATACTGTCAGATGAGATGGGGGGAGGGAGGGGGGGGGGGGGGGGGGGAGAGAACAGCTTTTAAAGACTGAATAGTTCTGCACCACTTGGCAATCAACTGACGCAAGACAAGCTATACTAATTTACTGATATAAAAAACTTATCAACATCACAGCACACTGGGAATACAAATAAGTGCCCCATATCCAGAAGAAAATGTCTTTAAGCAGCATTTCCCAAATTTTCTTGGTTGCTGCGCCTATTAAAAATTGCAATTGAAAATTTTCCGCTGCGCCCTAACCTAAGTATAAAAGTATGACTATTCATGTCTTGGTTAAATTAATTATGAAGCTTTTACAATATTTCGCAGCGAGAGGTCGTGGTTCCCCGGGCGGCGCCTTGCAGTGTGGGAATGACTGTCTCAAAGTAAAAACTGTTCCCGCAGCCCACTGATTATAAACTCACTCTCTTCCTCTCATACGCCCTTCCTAACAACATTTACACCTAATTCTTTGTTCATGCATTCTTACTTAGGTCATTAAATCCAACCTAGTGTCTTCTACCAGAATTCGATCACAAAGGTTTTCAGAATGTCTCCTTCGTCCAGTAGAGTTTTCCCTGTAGCGATTGCTTTTGTAGCCAGAAAATCCATTCTTTCATTTCTTCGCACTCATGCATATTCCTGACAGTATATGAGTCTTTGTAATGTGGATGTTTTAATGCTTGGTATCCACTTATGCAACAATTGTCAGCCTTGAACACTTCCGCAGGACCGACGGAGAATGTCAATATAATTCTTTTTGTTACTCTATCTTCTGCTATCCACCTCAGAGCTGCAGTGATAGCCTCCACCTCCATTACCATGCTTGAAGTTGTAAATACATTTTTTTTTAAAAAGCACAATTTTGTTCTGACGAAATCTTCTTAGAAAGCTATGTGTTACTAAAGCCCTTTATAAGCAAGAGTTCAGTTTGAAGGCACATACAGATGATCGCAGGCCGAAGAGAATGGTGCAGCAAGGAAGAGTGACCATAGGATCTGGCACGACAGGCTGTAAAAAAGGCTTCGGGGCAAACTTGGTGACATCACTTCCTTAGGCAGATGCAAAATGGCTTTCACTTACGTTTCATGTGTTAGGTTTTATTTTTGTTGTCAAATTGTAACATTAATAAGTGGTTTCACCTTCACTTTTACGTGGTGTCATATAGTAACATTAATAAGTGGTTTCATTTTCAATTTTGATTCAATTATATGTGGTGCCATTTAGTAACATTAATAAGTGGTTTCACTTTTGATTCACTTATTATATGTGTTGTTTTCAGGCAGTAGATTTAACAAGTTCTTTGTGTGATTCACTTGAGCGTGTTGTGTTTTTATGGAGCAGCAGCTCAAAGGTAAATAGAAAAACAATACTACATTTTTATAACTTTAACCCCGTGTGGGTTCTGCGGCCCTATTATAGGGAAAAGAAGAAAAGACCCACTGCCTGAGAGGCAAGGAACCAACAGTCTGCACACACATGTGTCAGATCTGTCAAACGGATGCACACTCAACACTCAGGTACTGGAACCAGACTGCAGTCCAGAAGTGGACGAACAACCAGAAGTGTTAACATATAATTATTTCCTACAAAAACTGCTCATTTTTTAAAATTGCAAATAAATCTCTAATATGAATTACCAACAGATTTTAACATAAACTAAATCCCCAGCGCAAACAGCCAACACATGTTAACATGGCCAATAAAAACATTTTAACGCAAATTGCCAATAAATCTTTTAAAACTGTTTCTCTAGTGTTCCTTCATTAGTCTGTATAGGTCTATAGAACTTTATACAAGTTCTATTCTCGAGCTTATTCCTAGCATTTTTGGTTATGCTGGGGTGGTGACGACACAACAAGCCGAAGACATCAGCCCCTACTGAAATGGCATTGTATCGGGCTAACACTCAATGGAAAGGCATGCTGGACAAACAATCAGACTCCCCCTTGTACCATAAGAAAACAACATTATGTCGGCTGGAGAAGATGGAGTCAGAGTATATAAAGGGGCAAATATTACCCTTCTTTTAACAAGCTTTTTTCTGGGAAACTGTAAGTCACTCTGGCTGTCGAAGATGTTCAGTTACAAGATTTACCATTGCAGAAATCTGAGAATTATGAATTACCACAAGAAACTTAATGTGGCACATAACATAAAGGGTAACTTCTTGTTCATCCCATCTTGGCAACATAAATTTTATTGGTGCTTTTCCCCATGAAATTTTGGGGTCGCTGAGACGGGGTGAAGGTCTACAAAAAATCAAAGGACCTCATAAAGAGTTGATATTATGGCTGAGCAGTAAATTGGAAAGAAAATTCGCCTCGACATACTCACACAAAAACTCAACTTGTACATACCTCGTCTTCTGCTTTGGTGATGTTAGGCGTCTTCTCTAGGCTAAATGGAACAGACGTAGCCAGATGTATGTTTTCTTGAAGCACTGGTGTCAATTTTCTGTTCAGTTTGGTTTTGGGAGACTCGCTTACAGCTCCCACTTTCTCAGCTGAGGGCGAGGATTTGACGGATCCTACAGAATTATCACGACTTTTGATGCTCAGCTGCTTCTCCGATGGTAGTGAAGCACCTTCAGTAAAGTTCCTGTCATCAGAACAATCTGACAAGGACATACGCTGCTTGCGTGCCTTCGGAGAAAGAGGCTTAGTCTGCAGCCGAGACAGATCTGTTTTCCCCAGGTAACTGGCTGAAGATGCCCTGTACTTCACCAGCTCAACAGCACAGACTGCCGGAATGCTCTTTGCGGGGCTAATACTTCGGTACTTGGGTCTGGCATTAGAATTTGTGTCTGATTCCACATCCAGTTCTAATGTCCCCTCCTCAGTGGGATCAATTAGACATGTTTCTTCTGCACTAATACGTTTCTTCTTTGGGGGTTTCCTGACATGACCATCTGTCAACTCTGCTTCACTACTGAGCCTCAACTTATTCTTCTTCGCAGGTAAATTGTCACTGTCATCGGTTAAATATTTACGTTTTCTGCTCGGAATAAAGGTTGCCCTAGCACAGCTATCGGCAGAATTCAGATCTGGAGTTGTTATTTTACATTTCTTGACCTTATTTCCAGGACTTGGACTCTGCAGATGATCGTCTTTTTGTGTGGCAGAGGGTTTATTCTCATCTCCCGACTTTCTTTTTTTCACTTTGACAGCAGCAACTGTGTTGAGAACATCAGATTCGATGCTTCCTGGGATGTTATCGCTGTCACCATGTTCAATGTTCTTCCTCTTCTTCTTGCGTTTTCGACTTGCTTGTCCCCCCTGCTGTTGGTCCACCGCCTTCCCATCATGCTTGAGAAATCGGATGTCACAGACGAAATTCTGCTCCTCTTCGTTTCCACTTTGGCCCAGCTCAACACTTGAAGTCTGTTCAGCGCTTAAATGTTTTAAAAAAGAAATGGGTATACTGTCAGTGCTTAGGATATGCAAATATTTGAACATAATAAACATAATCGACTTTGAGCAACTGACCTTTTGCCCCACTAGGATATCACACTGATCTAAAAACACCCAGTGACACAAAGTTCTACCATCTGGATGAGGATCATCCGGGGACAGGTCCCAGAAACGCTGTTCAACTCTTAGGGTTATAATTAGGGCAGCAGCAACCGTGTTAACAACATCAGATTCTTTGCTTCCTGGGATGTTACCGCTGTCACTGTGATATTTAGCTATATATTAGCGAGGTGGTTCGTAAAGGGTTTGTTATGTGACATGGTCTGCCTGCTCACGAGACAGTGCTGTAGTACAGCAGTCCATGTGAAAGGTGCAGAAGCGTAGGAATAGCTTTAAGGGAGTCTAGTGGTTCTAGATGACGGGGTCAGTCCTGGTTTTTCATCTGGACTTTGGCCTTGCTTTGACGTAATGCACGCACAACCATTTTACAAATCACAGGCAGATGCACTACCAACTTTGATGGTAACATCTGGAACAAACATCAATTTATAGACTTGGGACAAAACAGGGTGGTCTTCGAGCACACCTGCACAGGATAAGCATTTAAAAAAATATGGTGCCTGTGATTGCGGAGCAGAAAGACAGACCCCTGAGAATATACGGCAGTACTGCCCTAACTTCTCCCAGCAAAGACTGTGGATCTGGCTTAAGGGAGCTTCACTGCAAGAGAAGCTATGGGAGGCCGGTGGCGACCTTAAACACACAATACTATTTGTGACCCAGACAGGAGTCAATGTTTAGCATGACTGATGTCGAACACAGAAGAATAAGAAGAAGATGGAAAAATTACCCCAACCTCAAGAAAGCTGACCAGTTGTGTGAAACTGTTTCGAAGGTGACTACAAATGAAGAAACGTTATATTCAAAGTGTCACAAACAAGTCACTATAGCCAGTCCTACATTCGGCCCTTCCAAACACTCACTTTTCACACAGCAGTTGTATTTTATCACTCAAGCGTGTTTCGCTCACATAACAATATGAATAATATGAAAATCAAGGATAAAACAAAACATATGGTAAAAGCATGCGCACACACCAATTCACTTGTTCACTTACAAAAACATACATACTACACAACCACTCATATGGACAATACTCTCATATAACCCACACATTTACTCTCATACACAGATACATACTTATCATACCCAAACATTCAAACACACACATATTCTACAGACTGGTTGTGTTAGCACTTCAGATGGCTACCGTATGCTTTTAATGCGTGTGTATGCTAGTGCATATGCTGAGACAGCATTCTTGTAATTCTTTCCACAAGGGACTATGACGAACATTATGTGTGTTTCTGGTTGGCACAGGAGCAAAGCAACTATGGGATGAACCGTTTGCTTTGAAGCTGAAACTATGATTACCAAGATTACCCACACATACATACGCTGCAGAGAGGTGCAAACAGGCAATGACAAGCAGGGGCCCTGGTGCACCCTCCCAAGTGATTCAGCACTTCTGCATCCCTGCTACCACTCAACAACAACAAAATAGCAACTCACCTGTCTGCAGAGTCAACATTGTTACTCGACAAATCTGAGTATTTTCTCATCACCTTGTAGACTAGTGCCCTGTTGGAAGCTCGGATGACCTTCCTACCTGCCAGGTCAAACAGCCAATTCACGAGCACCGCCTTATCCAGCTGGATAGAACAAAACAATGCCATGAGCATCAGAATAGTGTTTTAACCCGTTGAGTACCAGCAATGCATTGCTGCTTGTTGTCAGTATAGACATTACAGCATAGTAGTAAGACCCAATCATGCTCAGTTCACTAGTGCAGCAGCCATTTCAATGTCTCCATGCTCAACGCACCCAGTAGGAACTAACTGATATCTTTTTTTTTTTGTCTGGCTTTGCAACTGTGTTCTGCAAGCTTTCCCTCGTTCAACACCAATTTCCAACAGGCGGTTGGTTCACCGTGTGGACTTGGACTCAACGTCTCAGGAAAGCAGCATAATTAGCATGCCTTCCCTATTTTGTACTTCTTCCTCCACTAGCCACGGCAGATACAGCAATTCCACCGGCTCTTTTTTTTTCCACCTCGGCAGACCCCAGCTTTGATCTGCACAATCCTCTTATTTTCAAGTCTGCCATGGATCTTCTAAGTTATACTAAAAAAAAATCTAATTTATACATATCTGAGTCGTAAGAACACACACAAAAGATTGTACACACAACATTTTTGTTGATTATTTTTTTGGGGGGGCAAATGATCTCAGACTATCTACATTTCCTCTGCACACCATCACATGGAAAACACTGCTCTTAATTCATTTGACCCTAAAAGTGGTACTTGACAAGACTGAAAGCATTTAAATAATAGCACACAATTACTAAGAAAGAAATGGTTAATGCAATGACAGGATGAGACATAAAGAGTTCATAAAAGCAACATCTCAAAGAACCACTTTGTATGAACTGCTAGAGGGTCTTTACTCCACTGGCAGATGAAGGGAGAAAAAGCAGTTCGGCCCTTAAAAGAGTAGTTGCCAGGTTGTAATGTGGTTTACAGCTAGGCTGTGATATATGTGCTTTCTGACACAACACATCCAATGTCAGACTGGTCAATTTGTAACGATATGCTTGCTAGAGTGCAGTGGGATCAGTGTGTTTCCCCTCCTAACATTAGGCCCTGGAACCAACATGAGGCAAAAGTAGCAGACACATAAGCTGCTTAGTTAGAGTAAAAAAATAGGACCTGTCCACATTTCCAGGCCCATCTACACACTTTCTCAGTCTAGGTCAGAGGGGTGTCATGTTGTATTGCTTTCTTTTAAAGGAGTCTCTTGTGTGACCTAGGCTGAGGCTGTGTGTGTGTGTGTGGGGGGGGGGGGGTGTCTGGGTTAGGTTAGGCCAGTTCTAAATGCTCTGGGGTTGCAGAAGCTGTGACGTCATGTAGCATAGAACATGTGACATCGTCACTGATATAACTAGAGGCAAGACAACATGACACCCCTCCGAAGCATAAGAGTCAGAAAGTGGGTCTAAGTGAGACTTAATTTTCAACTCTGGAAAAATCTCGATTTTAGAAATTGTTCTTCCCAGATTGCTCAAAAATGTCAAATCAGACGTCTAGATTAACTACTCTTTATCTAGAGTGTCTATTCATGTGTAAAATAATTGTTGAAAATCACTGCAGTTTTATCCCAAAAGGTTTAATCTCTTCCTATTAACAGCATCATACAGTGGATGAACTCTGCTTCCGCAATTCCTAGTGACCTCTTCGCCTTTGAATTGAATACAACAGAAAGGAACCAAACCATAACTGTCAAAATAACAGAACACAAGTGGTCCCTGTGCGGAGAAAGACTGGGTTATTTGGGATAAAGCACTGAAACTGATCCTCGACTTTAAATCACAGACAGAATAAACTTAATATTTAATTTTTCAAAAACATGACAGGTATATTATTAACAAGGCAATACAAATAAATTTACTATGACTTACGTGGAAAGATGGTTGGTCCACTTTCTGCCGATCAGGAGCATCAACTTCCATATCTTCATCCGCCTGATCCATGTCATCCACACTATCAGATTCTGCATCTCCACCTGTGACCACTGCGTTGCTGGTTGATGCGGGTTTCATTGCTTTGTAAATGATCCGAGAAATCACACGGTGAGCAAGTTCTGGTCTGAAACAATCAGTATGTTGGTTCAAGTTTAGTTATAAAAAGTCTACATAAAAACAAACAAAATGTGTTATCAAGTTTACAGTTTAAAAAAATCTACACGAAAACAAAATGCAAAATGACTGAATGTACACAAGACAGAAGGTTGTGGATAGACACGACTACCAACGCCACACAGCGTGGACTCTAAGAAGAAAAAGAAGAATGGCTCATTGAGTGTGAAACTTTCTTGAAGCAACCTCAGATGGAGAGATTTCTTTTAGTTATAAATCTCTGGAAAACAGCTAACAGGTGTCCTTGCTTAATTAAGAAGATCTTTAGGAAGAGACTGAATCAGCTAAGAGGTTATCCAAGTATGAACTGAAAATGATCCTATACAATCAATAAATCAAATGCCCTCTCTACAATGACGGTTGGCTGCACAAAGTATCTAAAAACACGCCCTGGCTGTACACAGACTTCTGTCTCTATATGTTATCCTTCAACTTGTATCGCCGTCTACCTTAAAACTTTACCTGCCAGAATGGGTTTTAACAGAACGTTAAATCTTTTAATGAACCTTCATAAAACCCAATAAAGGGTCTTCTTTTTTTTTAAACAAAACCCCATTGGCACTGCAACCACATAGTGCCAGATGCATGTTTTTTTTATATATCACTCAGCCCGCTGTGGGTTATGTGAACACATGCTTGCCGATTTTAGTTGCCAGGATATTACCTGGTACCCATTTCTGGTTGGGTGGACCTGGCGGCCTACGTCAATCATGAAAAGAGAGAAATAGAACCTGGTGCAGATTCAAACCCAAGACTGGGCTGACAGTCAAATGTCTCATCATTACAATACCAACACTCCACAAGGCAAACAGTAACAAAGGGAAAACAACGAAAACTTACTTATATGTCAGTAAGACAGCAACAAAGGGAAACTTACTTATTTGTCAGCAGGATAAACTCAATGAAAGGCTGAAGCAGAATCAACAAGGCTTTGCTGGTCAGCTGAAGAAAAAAAAAGTCTTATTATCATTTCCTCTATAAAATCATCAAAACTCACTAATAGACAGATTGTGTGTTGAGCGAGACATAGGCCCTGCTCCGTGCCTTTCTGGCTGCTCTGACCATAGACAAACCATGGTGCTGTGGAGTTTCTGTTATCTTTACATGTGGTTCTTGGTCTACCTCATGCTCTACATCCCTCTTCTCTTTTGGCATATGCCTTGTATGCTATAGCATCAGAAGACATTCTTTCCAAGTGGGCAAAAAATTTGATTTGCTGTCTTTGTATGTAATTTATAACTGGTTCTATTCTGACTTTCATTAACAATGATTTATTAGCGGGTGACTGCACATTTTATGAGGAATAACAAGGTTTGACAGAATCACAAATGTGGTGCAAGAAGATAGATGTGGTTATTAAACAGTAAACAAAGAAAAACAAACACTGGAATCAGTAGAGAAACAAGATTATTATGGCCTGGAGAGACAAGCACCTGGGTGTAACCAGACGGTCTGCCTGGCTCACTACACTCAGAGGAAAGGCAAGACGGACATAAAACCAGATTGTGACTGGTACCTTCAGTACTGGAACTCCGTGCTGGCTGCTGAAGATGAGGACAAGCACGCATGGAAATGCTCCGAGTGCTGTGATGTCAATTCATACCTCAACTCAATTGAACAAAGAAAAGGAAGACCACAAGGAAACACTTCAGCAGCTTGGACCGACTCACATCATGTTGTACCACACTCTGTTTGTCACATGTAGCTCCCCCCAAGGTCCTCCCCATCTTTTTAAAAGTCAATGACTAGAATGAGAACATACAAGCCAGCTAAAACAAACCTGTTCTGTAGGAACCTTTCCCAACTCATCCAGAAAAATATCAGCCAGATGAAGCTTGAGCCCGTCCGGCAAGCCAGCCTCATGTGCGCACATGACATGTTTGTAGATTGACAGGGCAAGCTGGCGACAGTCATCTTCCTGCCAGTCGCCCTTACTCATCAGCAGAAATGTCTGGTGAAGCATGTCTCGCATCATCTTTGGGGGGAAAAGAGAGAAAATGTAAAAATATCTCAATTGAAAATGCTAGGTATATAGAAATCCCACAGCAATTTGGTGTGTGTTGCACTGCAGTTTTCTACTTCTTCGCACTCACTGGCTGTACAAATTCCAATGTTCCCAGACTTGAGTGTTGTATGCAATAATTTTACAGATCTGATTTATTTTTGTGCAGACTGCTAATTTCCTTTTCTCTCAGGCAGATGTACTCTGACTTCAAAGGAAACTAAGTCCTAACGGGTTCTTTTACAACATGTTCCCCAGGGGGCAGCAGATCTATTCTTCCTAAACTTAAAAAAGGTCCATACGCTTACTGTCTAATGTCCATACACACATACATATAGATTTATGATTATAAATTTATAAATACGTAAATAAACAATTATGAAAATAAACACTTTTCTGGCATTAACATCTACCTATCTACCTACCATCATAAACTTATCAAGCCTTAACCGGTCGATCCCGTTCCATTCCCTAGACATGGTCTCCAAAAACACACTGACAAATCTCAGGCCGTCTCCAGTCTCAGGGAAACATTTCAGCAGATTTGTGATTCTTTGTGACAATTCCTCCTGTAGAGAACAACAAAGTGACAGCTTCAAATACAATGTTGGAGAAAGAAAACGCTATAAACATAGTACCGCTGTTTACATTATTACTACTGTATTCCCCCTTAAAAGGGTGGTTGGCATGTAATGTGAATTACAGCTAGGCTGTGATTTCCGTGCCCTTTTGTTTGAAACTTCAGATAACCTCTAATTTTACAGTATGGCTGTTGTGTGTGTGGGAGGGGGGGGGGGAGGTGTCATTGCAATCGTTGTAAAGTTTTCCTTAAATTTTTATGATTTTTCTTCTCACATTCTCATAACTTCACTGCCGTCTACAAAATGAAAAATCTGCCTAGAAAAACCAGAACCACCAAAAATTGTTGGCTTTGGTTCTACAACTGCAGTCTACCCCATGGTAGACAGGAATGTAGATAAAAATGGAGGAACACAGAGTTATGAACACAACAGGCAAGAGTTTTCATAAAGCCATACAATTACAGTATTACAAAGCATGAGTTGAAGTAGCAATTGAGGCAGAACATGTTAACTCCCAAAACTATTACTCTAACCCCAAAGTTTTCAAAACTCTGTGTTGCTTCAAATTAGCGTAACAGCCAGTGTGAAGGTGTGTTGTGCCAAGACCATCTCCATCTGACGGACCATGCTGCTGACATCACCGAACCAGGCTAATGATACGTTGAGTTTTCACTCTGACAGTTCTGTTTTTCGGTGTTTTCCCTGCCGTCCCCAACAAAAACTCTAGGAACAAGCTTGAGAACTGACCATATATATATTTACACAGATATGGAGACGATCTCGGTTGTGCGAACATTAGGCGTTAACAATTCATGTTTATGTCCTTGTCTCATATAAAATAAATGGTCAGTTTATGTTCTGGTTTGCTAGTAGACTGAACTCCCATGCCGAGAAGACATTTTTGCCTAAATAATCTGTGAACAGTTTTAAAAGCTCCGCTTTAAAATAATAAATGTTGAGCCTAGAGCAGTTTATGGGGAGCTGCCCAGTGTGTAGTGACAGTGTAGCCTAGACACCCGCCTGAGAATACAAAGGTCACGGGTTCAAGTCCTGACAAAGTCAAAACTTTTTTTTCAAAAATGACATTGGCTCCCAGGTTGAGCCAGCCTTAAATGGTCACCAAGTAAAGTCACGGGGCAGTAAAGACAGCCGGTTTGATGTTGTCCACATCACCCAATGACTGCTGATTGGGTCTATAAAATAAACATTTAGCCTTAATGCCCAACACACCTGAAGATGCAGGTAAAGGGTCCTGTTCTTTACACGGGCAGTTTACGACATCATTACTCCCTTAGGCAGCAAGAGTTGAGGAAACAATAAAGACAGTGAGATCATGCAACAATAAATGTTTGCATTCACTGGCTGTAAACCCCAGTAGAAAGACCTAGTTGTTCATCCATTTCTGGACTTTGCTCCTGGAGTTTTGTGAGTGCATCTGTTTTACAGATCTTGCTTATTTGTGCACAGACTGTTGGTTCCTTGCCTCTCAGGCGGACTTCGAAGGTAGCTCCCAATGACATGCTTGTAGGGGGTCTATTGTTTTCCCCTTAACCAGGCACCGGAACGAACACGCAGTAAGTTCCACTACTTGGTAATGAACGAGTTAATGCGGCAGACAAACAGAGCTAGAGTTTAAATTGAACTGAGATTTTTTTTTTAAACCAAGATAACAGCATTCTGGCATTCCCACAAGTGCTCCACCCCCAACTTCAGCAGCTAATTCTGATAGTACCAGTAATAATCTGACTGCAAGCTTATCTGGTCTTTACTCTTAGTGTCGACTGTAGCCCAGAACCCCTAGTCCCTTTCCGTTGCATTATTCTTTTCAGATCGTGATAATCCAAGTGTGGCTCCACAGTGACAAATAGAGGTATATACCATGCAAGGAGTAGATAACTAATATAGTTCTCTGGTATAGAAGGAGTTATAGCTGTCAGAAGACATACCTGGATCAATGGTTTGTCCTGCATCCACATACAGTAGAAAAGACCTTTCCATATTTTTAGCAGATCAGCTTCACTAAGCCCTGCTGAAATTTACAAGCATAAACACACACACTTTATTTATATTTCTATCATCTAATATATCTACATCAGCTAGGCTATAAACACTTCTTCTTCAGCGATCTCTGGTCAAGCGCATAATCCACTGTGGGCCATAAACTGGGATGTCTTTTCAAGGTCTCATAGGTTTCCCAAAGCTTAGTTGTCTGGTCTACTGGGTGTGGCCACATGTTGCAGCTCTGCCAAGAAAGGACAGTCTTGCAGGACATGTTCTGGAGTCTGTTCAGCACGAAGACACTGGCAGAGAGCTGTTTGCCTCATACCTAATTTATATGAGTGTTTATTGAGTCTGTAGTGTCCAGTACGTGAGCGCTATAAACACAATACTTAGTATTTCTAATTTGTTCTTTTGTGGGGGGTTGATTCATCATTTGGTGGCCAGTATTTCCTTCAGAAGGAGGGTGCTGAGTGGTCTCGAGGTATGGTGTTCGCCTCGAATGCTGCAAGTCCTGGATTTAAGCACCGGTGAAGGCTGGGATTTTTTTACATGGACTTCTAGTAAATTTCTCCTAGTCTCTGGGTAGTAAGACCGGACGTCCGTGTGCGGTTAAAAATCAAAAATGGCGGTGCCCAGTCAAAATTTAGAGTTATTCTTCTTCTTTGCGCACCAGCTGTAAACTCTGGCAAAAAGTTCACTTCTGGGCTGCAGAACTTAAGTGCTGTGTGTGTATCTGACAGATTTGACACATTTGTGTGCAGACTGCTGGTTTCTTGCCTCTCAGGAAGATGCACTCCTGACTTCGAAGGAAGCTCCAAGTTAGTTCACTCTTACGACATGCTTTTGGGTAGGCAGTGGTTGACAGAGTCAACAGACAATTATTATGGAAAGTAATGGCAAGATATGGAGTAAGCGAACACCTCATCGAAGTGTGCAAAAGTTTATACAGGGATTGTAGAAGTGTAGTTAGAATAAATCAGGGAACATCTCATCTATTCACAGTAACATCTGGAGTAAGACAGGGGTGTGTCTTATCACCACTGCTGTTTATCACTGTTGTGTGCAATCCGAAGATCCACACTACGGGCAACCGATAATGAACATGAGGTATGACGAGGACACGATGTCACTTGCCGGCAGAAATTTTTAGACAGATGACAGTTGCAAAAATGTGTTAATGGCAGAGGTTGGAAACTAGGCTTAGCTGTATTCTACTTGATGCCGCAGCTAGCGGGGAGCTTAGGCTCTGTACTCTGGCTTAGAGGTGAAAGGAGTTCTTCTACTTGATGCCGCAGTTGGCGGGGAGCTTAAGCCCATTGCTCTGCCTTAGAGGTAAAAGGAGTTATTCTAACTGATGCTGCAGTTTGCGGGGAGCTTCGGCTCGTTGCTCCGGATTGGAGGAAAGTAATTATCTAACCGTCGTTTAATACAGTGACTGTAATATATGCATTTCATTGACACCATTTATGTCTGTGAGGAATTGTTCAATAAACTTCTTGGATTTGCCTGTCAACGACGTGTTTGTAGCAGTTTCAACGATTGACTTTGTTACGGCGTATTTCAGCCCGCCGTTGGTCTTTGTCATTGGTTACCCCTAGCAAATAGTTTACTTGGAATTTGTACGGCATGGGTCTGGGACTACACCTCACGGCCTAATTTATGAACAGAATATCAACGTACAGTAATGGAGACTAATTAGAGCCGTACAATCACCTACATCGACAGTATATGCAACAATGCCAAGCCCATGAATGAAAATGTTAGTAAGATCAACGAATTACTCTTTGCAGATGACCAGGCCTTGATAGCAGATACAGCCATGAAATTGCAACAACATCTAACATCCATGAATGAAGAATGTAAAACAAATGATATGAGAATCAACATTGAAAAGACAGAATGTCAAGTCAATAGGAAAAAGGAAGACAGATCTAAACATAGCAATAGAGTGCAAAGGCATTAAACAGGCATCTGAGTTTAAATATCTGGGAACTTCATTTACTGAAGATGGGAAATTGGATAAAGAAATTAACATTAGATGCAATAAAGCGAACCAAGTATTGGGACAGCTAGCTCCCCTCTTACAGCATAAGACAATCCCAATCAGCACAAAGAGACATCTTATTCAAAGCATATTTATTCCAACTCTGTGCTACCAGTGCACAACAAACCATAAAAGAAAATTAGTAACCATGGAAATGAGATGTCTGAGAAGGGCTATAGGTGTGACCATAAGAGAGAAGATCAGGAATGAGATCATAAGAGAAAAAGTCGGCACAGAACCAATTCTAAATTACATACGAAGACAGCAAGTGAAATGGTTTGCCCACTTAGAGAGAATGCCTTGTGACACTAAACCATACAAAGCATACATGGAAAGAGAAGAAGGACGTAGACCAAGAACAAGATGGAAGGATAACATCAGAGAAACTCTACAACAGCACGATATGCCTATGGTCGAGGCGACCAGAAGAGCTAGAAACAGAACCTTATATCTCCCTCGACACCCACAGCGGTAAAATAGGAAGTGAAGAAGAAGAAGAAGTGGGTCTATTCGTGTTTTCCCTATAACAGGTACCCGGAACTCACACAGGGAAAATTTATAGTAAAAGATATACCCAAACTATTTCAGGTGAAAATCCTCGCCAGTGGGACAGAGTTTGTGCACTACGCTGAGATTCTTCGGACTCAAGCTTGAATTGGAAATTGAACAGAGCACTTATATGGGTTACTATATACTTGTGCCATATGATCCGTTGAGAAAGTAAACACTTCTTTCATAAGGCATAATAAGGGGATGTATAATAATTAATAATAATAATATAATAATAATAGTAAGTCCTGTATATTGGGTTCAGTGATGGAAGATCCTGTCTGTTCATCCATTAGTATTACTAAAAAACTCATCAAAATTATTTTTCCTTATGTTATTTAATTATTAACTATTTTGGTTTTTTTCTCCAAGTTGGTTAGATAGTTGTCTTGAC